GTTTTTAAAAAATATTTTCTATACCTGTTTATTTAAACTTGGAGTAGCCATGTGTGAGTTGGTTAAATGAAAAGGTATCTTTGGTTTTATAATATGTAGCGATCAGATATAATGTTTCAGCATATTATTATTATATTTTAACAAAAATTATTTTTATTGTTTGAATAATCTGTTATAATGAGGTACAGCTTCTAGAACAAATTCATAAAAAACCCGTACTGTTAAACTCACCATTTATTTGGCATTCTGTCCCGTACTTCCATGTCTCTATTAGCTCTGCTGTCAACTAGTTCTGGTAAGGCATATTGCATATAATAATTTTGAATTTTATTTTATTTAATGGTATTATCCGTTTTCCAGAAAGTTATTTTTCTACTGCATATTCCTTTTTCTTCAGTCAACACTCTAGCTTCATATGGACATTTTAACTCTATCATAGAGTTTTTTGTTTTAAATTCCATCTGGACCGGCAGGAACATAATCAAATTCGGAATCAATAAAAGTCCACATATAAAAACTTTTTCTTGCTAATAAATTTCCAAATCTTATTTTGCACTGGATTTATTGTCCATGTCATATTAAAAGGCTTTAGCAAAAAATAAAAGATTTTATGAGATTGTTTAAAAAATGCCTTTCCTTTTTTTACAAATGTCTCTTTTTGAAACAGTGACTCGCTTTCGTCTTTCATTTTGCTACAATCCACAATCAGCTTGATCTCTTGTCACATTCATTTTTTTCTCATCTATAGACATTATCAAACTTTTTAGAAAATCTTCTTTTGCAACGCGCATCAAAGAGTGTGAGAGATCAAGCAAAAAAGCTCAAAAAAAAATGATTTACTAAGTTCGAAAAAATATACATTACTTTAACAGCTTAAAGAGTTGTTAACATGCTGGAATTCATTATTCTTAACTCGAAGATGTATTCATTAAAAAAAATTCCCGTGCAATATAAAAGTTAATTTATAATTCAAATCTCATTGTATACCTTTTAATTTCGGATATATTTTTTTAATAAATAAATGATAAAATTATTTTAAAATAATTGAGCGAAATTACTGTATGTAAAAATAACAAAGTGTACAGACATAAAACAAAATAAATTCAAATCACTTGCGTACGTTTATCACTTGTAAACAGTAGAAAAGGATATACATTTTGTTGGTGTCGCCCTCTAGACGAAAAAGCTTTTAACGTACTTTTTAATTTTTATTGAGAAAAATAAATATTCCTGTAAAAATTAAAAACATATATATTGTTCTCTTCTAGCATTTTTATTTGTATTTGTATTTTTTTTTTTTTTTCGATAGAAAGATATCTTCTTACATTTTCTCAAAATAAACCGATTCAAATGTTCAAAAAGTGACTCCTTTACCTGTATTTACATAATTTTACAAAAAATAATCCGTAAAATTGGTGTACTATGAAACCCATTGCATATTATATAAATATGTCTATATTAGTATTACAGAAATGATTTACGTAAAACAATAAGGTGTACCTACAAATACGTAAACTTTAATTATCCCTCGTAAAACATCAGTAAAATATTTTGTAAATTGTTTTCATTCACAAATATTAATTTCTTAAAAATCTAACAGAGGGGCCACTTGCCAGACGAAAAATCTTGCAATGTAAGGGTTTCGTAGTACCCCACTTTTAAAGTTTATTTTTAAGTATTTTTAAAAGAAAAAAATACGTACGTGTAGATAAAGGTTAAATCTATGCTCCTCTGGAACCACTTTTTCAAAATTCAATTTAGTTTTTTCTAAAAAAAAATTGAGAAAATGGATCAAAATAGGCGAGTTTTGTGTTTTTTTTAGAAAAAACAAATTGAAATTTTGAAAAAGTGTTTCCAGAGGAGCACAGATTTAACCTTTACCTACACGCACATATTTTTTTCTTTTAAAATATGTCAAAAATAAACTTTAAAAGTGGGGGTACTACGAAACCCTTGCATGCTCTGCTCTAAAGCCAAGTAAATACTCCTCTTAAGCCAAATATTAAAATTTCAAATACACCTACACAATCTAAAACAAAAAGATGTTTCTTCATTTAAAAAATTTAAACTGTTATGTCCCTGGGTATTTAAAAAAAAACTTTATTGTGACTGCACTACTTTTGTCTTGTATATAAAACCAGCTATAGAGAAAGTAAAAGTTGAAAAGTCTTTTGGTAGGTAGAGAGGGGGTAAACGTCAAACCACGTCGGGCGGTTCCGAGAATTTCACAGTAATGTTTACCTGCCAGTGTCGTTTCATAGAATAAGTAATTTTAAATTGTTATCGGCGGAACCGAACAATCGCATGTATTTATGGATTATAAATAATTATTAAACATGTATTATAATATTCAAATTATAATTTTACAAAATTTCAACAGCTATTCACAATTTATTAAACTATTTACTCGAAATTGTTATTAAAATCTATAAAATAATTTTGTATAGAGAAAGTAAAAGTTGAAAAGTCTTTTGGTAGGTAGAGAGGGGGTAAACGTCAAACCACGTCGGGCGGCTCCGAGAATTTTACAGTAATGTTTACCTGCCAGTGTCGTTTCATAGAATAAGTAATTTTAAATTGTTATCGGCGGAACCGGACAATCGCATGTACTTATGGATTATAAATAATTATTAAACATGTATTATAATATTCAAATTATAATTTTACAAAATTTCAACAGCTATTCACAATTTATTAAACTATTTACTCGAAATTGTTATTAAAATCTATAAAATAGTTTTGTACGCCAATGTATCGCGTCCAGTTCGGTGAGATCCGGTGCCAACCTGTCAATTTATGTGTATAAAGTGGGAGAACTGGCAAAAGCATTTCCAACTTTTACTTCTGTTCTACGCCAATGTATCGCGTCCACTTCGGTGAGATCCGGTGCCAACCTGTCAATTTATGTGTATAAAGTGGGAGAACTGGCAAAAGCATTTCCAACTTTTACTTCTGTTCTACCAACAGGGCCGACTAGAGAGGGGGGTAGCCGGGACCAATTTCCGGGGATAAAATTGTCTCGAGGCCCGGTCTGGCTCTCTGCGGCCCTGGTTACCAATGGCGACTCGTGACCTCACAAGATAATGGGTAGTGTGAATAATAAAAATGCAATTGCTTTTATTTAAAAATGAGTAACAAATCGTGCTTATTTTTTAAAAAATAAAATTTCTGGACCATACTTAACGTTCTTAGAGTCTTTATCAAATAATTAGTATTCCCCAATTTTAGATAAAAATTTTATTTATTGGAAAGTAAGCACGATTTGTTAACAATTTTCAAGTAAAAGCAAATGCCTAATTTTTATTCACACTACCCAATGAGAGAGGCTATAAAATACCTTTATTTCGAAAGAGCTAAACTTTTAAAGAAATATTGGATTTTTTGTTAAATATCTTGGCATCTGTTTGAAGTAGGATTAAGCGGTTTACGGCGTTGAATTTGTTTTTTAGAGACCTACAAAACGGTATATATAAATATTGAGATATCTCAAATTTTGGAAAATAAAATTCACTGAGATGTGTCCAACGGTGAACATTTTTTTTTTATCTTGAAATTTATTAATTTTTTTTCAACTTTTGTTTTTTTTTACTTTTAATTTTCAAGATATTGGCAAAACAACGTACACACTTAATAATTTAAAAATTTTTGGAGGTCGTTTTGTAAAAAAACATTTCATAGGAATCATGATTTTTTTCGACGATTTTGACGTTTTTCTGTCTCCTGAATCAGTTTTGACTATTTTCACGATGGTGTCGTATTGTATGTGGGTATGCGGGCGCGTGTATGAGTGTGTGTATACTCGATTACTCATGAACAGAAAAACATCAAATTTTAAACTTAAGCTTTAATCCATCTGGCAGTGTGCTGATTATTATATTTATTGTGAGCATAGTCGAAGCATCTGGGGAGGTACTTTATAGGGTGTCGTTTTTTTACTTTAAGATATATCTGTTATTTATGTTTGGACAAGAAAGTTCTTCAAATAAAAGTGTAAAATTTAATTTATTATTTTCGTTGGTAATGAGTATATTAAAAATAGGTTTCGAATAAGATGTGTTTGGAAAATTTATGTATTAGTTCATCCTCTAAACATTTACAGTGGTGATACAATAGGTTGTACAAAATAACCAAAAAGCCTGCAATAATTAGACAGAAAAGTCATGTAATGGACGCGTCAAATTTTTTAATTGGTCGAATATTTATTTTGTAAAATGGAAAAGGCTATCCTTTGTTGAAATATAATCGAAAAAAACTTGAAAAAATATATGAGAGGGATGGATTCCAAGTAGCATTTGTATTTCGCTCATTTGTAACCAATCAACATCCTGTAAATATATCATTATGTATAGCAGGGACAGAAAATGCAAAGTATTTTGGTAGGTAGAGAGGGGGTAAACGTCAGAGGACGACTTCGAGAATTTCATGATGTTTACCTGCCAGTGTCGTTTCATAGAATAAGTAATTTTAAATTGTTAACGCCGGAACCGGACAATCGCATGTTTTTATTGACAAGCAATATTTATTAAACAAGTATTATAGTATCCATAATTCTACAAAATTTCAACAGCTATTTACAATTTATTAAACTATTTACCAGAAATTGTTATTAACATTCATAAAATAATTTTGTACTCCAATGTATAGCGTTCACTTCTGTTAGCTCCGCCGCAAAACTGTCAGTTTATGTTTATGAAGTGGGAGGACTGCGAAAGGCATTTCCAACTTCTGTCCCTGCTATAGGTTTCAAGTATATTTTGAATCACTACCAGTTTGTTGAGCAAACTTCAAGAATGACGAATATATTTGTAATAAAAAAATCATGAAAAATTGATTTCTGACAAAAATAATAAAGAATTTAAACGTTTTTTTTTTTATGGCACATATATTTCGAGTCATAGTTTCCGAAAATATGTGTTTTTATCATGGAAATGCATCAAAATTGCAGTTAAACATATACTTACATATTTCAATGTCTGATTTTCACATCATCTTATAGAACCCTCAATTTTAACTATCCTTGAATCCTTTAACTTTTACTTAAATTAAGTTGTACCATTAGAGTTCAGTACTAAACATTTAAAAATTATAATTATGTCATGGAAACGATATTTTGAAAATCTGGACTATATTTATTTTTTATTTGTTCTCAAAAATTACATTTTCTACAATGTAAATCACAGTAAAAAGTTATAAAGGTATATAGAGCTAGAACATTAATAACAATGTCTAAATTAAAAAAAAAAGATAGAAATCACAATATTCCTTTTTATGCAAAACTATAACCAGTTTCTGTCAACTGATATGTTAACACTATTTAAATTACTCAAATCAAAGTCATAAATCCAACTTAGAATTCAAAAATTATCTCAAAACATTCAAAATTAAACTGATCAACTTGGTTGAGGTGAAGTTTAATAAAATTTTTTAATTGTCCTTTTTCTTTTTGAAGTTCTACACTCCTGTCATCCATTGAACTCAAGTTTTCCTACAATATCACGAACAGTTTGTAGCAAGTTCGTATCATGGCTACTATTTTCTAGCAATATGGAATGAAGATTCGTCATATAATTGTCAATATTTTGCAGAGTAGCCGCTTCTTTAATACCTATAAATTTGGAATTTGTATTTTCTGTTGAAAATAAAACCTATACTGTTATCTTACCTGGTAGTTTAACTCCTCCAAAACCAGTAGTCAAAGTATTTCTCAAATGATTAAGATGCTGCTGAAGAGATGAATTATTCTTTTCTTGTTGCATAATTTCAGCTTCTAATTTTGTTATAGCTACCTTCATGTTCTCTATATGTTTTGACAATATTGCATTTTGTTGTTCATAGTCTGTATTTATTTTTCTCAGCTGTCTTAATTCAGCATCTCTAGTCTTATTGTGATCCAGAAATTCTTCAGTAAAGATAGGAATATCAAAATTGCCTAAATCCATATCTTGCATGTCTTTTTGAATAATAGGTTGATGTGCTGTCTATGGAGCAAAACAATAATTACACATTTAAACTTGTACCCTAAGGTTATTAAACAATGAATAATTTACTTTAAGATCAGTCTGGCAATTTCAATATATATTAAAAGTAATAAAAAAAATCAGTTTGTGTAGAAACAATTCACTGTTTATTAAAAACTTAATTGTGGATAACAAAAATATATTTAATTTTGGACTGTTCATGAAGTAGGTAATTAAATTGTCCTGATATTTTCAGCATCAGAAAAGAATTATTTAATTACCCTATAAAATCTTTAATATACAAGAAAAAATAATTTGCCCAAAATACTACTGTCTGGTACTCTGATATACTCATTTTCAGTAAAATTCTAATAATTATATTCAAATTTTAAGGATTTCCTAATAGATTAAACATCAAAGTTATAATAATCAAAAGGGCAGAAAGACTTAGGTCGACAGCCTGTTCGAAAACAAATAAATATATTTTTTGTTGCATAATTAAAATTGTTCAATATCCATTCATATGAGCCAAAAACTCAAATTACTGCAATTTATCCCAAAATCATTCATGAACTCAAACTTACTGGAACTTTAACTATCTGTTCCTCCTTGTCCTTATTTTCTTTCATTTTTTTCTCATTCTGTTGCTGAGTAAATAATTTGTAAGCTTCAGTTTGCTTGTATGCATTATATTCTTTTGTATATCGTTCTCTGTCTTGCTCTGCTGCATCTAGATATTGTTGCTTTTTTTCTACTGGTAAATTACTCCATTCACTTGCCAGCATTTTTGTTATTTCAGCAAATGATAAATTTGGATTTGTAGTTCTGACGGCCTCTCGGCGGTCATTCAAGTATCTTACATAACCTATAATTGTAAAAAAAAATATTTAAAAAATCTTTGACAACTATAATATCATAAAATAAGATCCGGTTAGAATTATTATAGTCTTGGATAGCGAGAGTACCCCTACACCCAATCTCGCCCTTAAGAAGCACATGTAAATACAAATGTGCAAATAGACATTATTATTTGTTCTAGGAGGAGACTTGTAACTCACCTGTGAGTGGAACTCTAGGTGCAGTGCTGTCTTTGGGCTTCTTTCGCTTTTTTGCCTTTAATGCCTTAGGTTTTTGAGTATTTTCCGATATATCTACAGATTTTTCTTCTATTGAATTGTTTAGGGATTCACTTTCTTCCGGTCTCGATTCTGCATTTTCAATTTTTTGAATATTTTCCATTCTTGAAAATTATGTATGTAATGCAAAATGTAGCAAAAAAAAACTGTTTTCCTTGGTTTTTCTTTTTCACAACAACGACAAAACGCGTTTGGTTGTTGTCACCAAGCGATGACAGCTTTGACAGTTGTGCCTTAGATCAATAAGTAAACTAGATCGAAGTTTAAAATGACATTTTTACATTAACAATGTAATTTTAATCTCCGGTTAACACAACGGTGGAATCGGCCCTTAAGTGTCACGATTCGTTTGGATGGCATGATCCACATTCAATGCAGCTTTTCAACTCATGATATACATAAAAAAGATTTTTTTTTACTAATAACATGAGAAATCAACATTGTTTACTCCATTCCTCTAATGATAAGTAATATTCCTCACCCTTGGTAAATAATCATAATAAAAAAACTAGGTAAATAATTAAAACAATTGGGTCCTATGATTGAACCAACTTTCTTATTTTAAATACAACAACCTGTACATTTTTCAATTTTTGGATTCTTCAGAAAATTCTAGACATATTTTATGTACTATATCCTTCGAGCAATATGCTCGAAGGCTATGCCCTATACCTAACTGTTTCGAAAATATTAAAACCTAAGATTAAAACCTAACTGACTAAGAACCGATTCCACCGTTGTGTTAAACCAGCCATACTCAACCTTTTGTTCATTCGGGTTACATTTGTATATATGTGCTAAGTTACACGGTCCGCAATATTTTTGGATGGTGACCTTTTTTTAGGCCATCTATCTAAAATTAGTTAGTGGGGACCTCTAATATATTAAAATACAAAACATAAATATTTCCCGTTATGTTACTGCAAAAACATTTTTAGAGTTTCGATAAAACTCTATTCAAACGTTTAAAACTGAATAAAAAATAAGTAAAAGCTTCAAACCGTTTATTAACATCAATGGAAGAAGGTATTGAAAACATTGCTCACAAAGTATAAACTTATAATCTATCAATAATTGGTAAAACAAGAGAGAAAAGCGCCACTTAGCTTATTTTCATGGTATAAAAAATAAAAGGTAGGATATCAACAGTGTCAAAAATGGGACGGCCACGCGCATGACGTCACGCGTAGAGTTTGTATAGGCGCGAATTTAAAAATACAGACGAAGTATGAGGAAAATATATGCTATTTAGAGAAATTTAATGAATATTAAAGAATAATAGTTTAGGAATTACATGAAATATCAAGTATATTATTATGGAATAGTTAAGGAAATAACTATGAAGCAAAATTAATGCAAATACATACATAAAAGATATGTTTATTTAAATAACAGTTTTTTTCCTGTTTCTTTTTAATGATTTATTTTTGTTATACAAATTCGAATACAGGTTCTAAAGAATAGTTTCTATAACTCGGAACTACTGAACTGGAGACCTTGGGTATAAGTTTCGCATCTGGAGACGCCGAAAATTTTTACATAATTAGGATTCGCAACTGGTTTGAATAATTTATTTGCATTATTGAATATACTTAATTACTTATTTTATGTAAAAGATGGGATTTATGCATAAGTAAGATAACAAAAATTTGTTTTTAATAAATATTTTTCATACAATATAATGCATAGCATTAAAATAATGTAACAAATACAAATAACTGCTACAAGGTGGGTGTATATACAAAATTAAAATAACAGTTTATTAGAACATTTAAAAATTTTCTTTTTTTGTAATATATACAATTTCACCTTTGCTGTATATTACGATATTTTCAGCCTTTAAAAGGGTACAGTCCTCAGTTAAGAAGTCCCGAGTTGCGAATGAACCAACGTGAAGTTCTGCTTTGAGGTCCCTTTCATAATTAAAAGGTTATAAAGTGCTTGGAATAGACGACATGATATTTTTCTGTTTTAAATTTATCTGCATGGTCACAGTCCACTGAAAGGGCGACTCCAGGTAAAATTTTCGAGGTAGGTAGCATTGCCATTGTATAAAGAACTATATACAATGCTTGTAGAAAGTGTACCTTCTTAACTCGAAAATTCCAAAAGTGGAGATATCTTGTTTTAGCGGTAACCCCACAACATTCCAAATGTTTATTTAAAAATTAGCATGTTATTTAGCGCTGCGACCAATAATAGTATTGCGGGCCACAAAAAAAGCTTGGAGGGCCGCAGGTTGAGTATGGCTGTGTTAAACCAAGTTTAAAATGACATTTTTACATTAACAATGTCATTTTAATCGCCGTTTAACACATTGGTGGAATCGACCCTAAAGCATCTCTGATAAAAAGTGCTTGTCATTTTTGAACAAAAAAACACATTACTTTCCTGTCTTACCCAAAGTTATTATAGTCTTTTTTATTTATTAAATATTAGTTAGTATTAGGAATATGAGCTTGATAAACAAGCTGGATGACTGTAAGGTACTTTTTAGAATTTCAGTTTATTTGTCATTTGTAGAGTCACTATTGTAATAATAAAATAAAACTCAATCTCAGATATATTTTAGGCCGCACTAACTCCATTCTTAAGCCCCGAATAATTTTTTTTCTTTATTTCGATTCTGTGTGATAAATCTTAATTTCATAAGCGTCGGGACGACGCTTGAAAGGAGAGGGGCATGTCACACTTCGTATAAATTCATATTTTTCCTAATTTTAATTAATTATTTAAATAACATCCTGTACATAAAACTTTGTTTAATTATGTCGACAATTTGTTTTAAAGTGCAATCATATTTAATAAATATTAAACATTAATTTCATAATAATAAACTATGGAGAATGTATAAAAGGTAATGTCGAGGGGACGCGCAGGGCTTTTTTCCACAGGGAAAGATTCTTCCCATATCAGGCCCCCTTGTAGGAGATTCCTAGTAGCAGCTCTCTATAGTTTAAATTAAAAGTCTTTTTTTGTATTTTAAATAATTGCGTTTTGAATATTTGTGTGTGTCGAGCTGTGACCTATTTGGTATTTTTATGTTAAATATATACTATATTTGTTTTAAGAAAACATTATGTTTCTTTCAATCTACGAAGCCAAGTAGAGTCTTTACACGATTGAGGTCTGAATTTGTGTATATTTTGCTTGATAACCCCCGGGACACAGATAGTCCCATAATTATTAAAGAGCACGTAAAACGTGACCTTTTTATTAAAAACACGATTAACGTGACAGTACTATTATATGTACATTGCATTTTTCTTTTAATTGGTCCTTGACAAAATATATAAAAAACAATCCTTTCCATTCTGATGAATAAAACTATTTGATACGCCCATGCGGAATCATCACAGAACGTGTACATCGCAGGCAGGTGACGTCTTTGGGTGACATCAACGACTGTTCTGTGACAGCAACCAGCAAAACTCGACAAGCAGCGAGCGAGGAGCAGTAAAAAATCTATGGTTCATTTAATTTATCCCTTCTATATTTTGAAGTCATTAAATTTAAATGAAATGTGTTTTTGACGTGACTTGCCTTGTGATTTTTAGCGCTTACCGAAAGATATATAACTAAATGTTAGATAACAATAATAAATAATGTAGCAGCATGTTATCTGGAATTCAGTTTCGATGGTCGTATCACTCGTACCTCCGCAATATGATTGAAAATGTAAGTTTGAAATTATTTATTCAATGCGGGACACAATATTTTTTATTAAAATTGTATTTTCAGTTTCCTTACTAATGTCAATTTTAATTATAACATGCGAATAAAACGCACACTTTTAATAATAGGATTAATATTTGTAATATGGACTTGTGTATTATTTCTAACATACCATCCTGGACACTCCAACGAAATTTCAAGAAAACTAAATCAAGAAATTGTGATTTTGGAACAAGGCATATCAGAGGAGTTTGCAAAGAATGATGTTATGATAAAAGACGCTCAAAAATTACTAGAGGATAGGAAGAAATTAGACCAAATCAAAGACAAGTTAATGCCAAAAGAATTACAAAATGTTAAGATTCCAGTATTGGTATTTGCTTGTAATAGAGTAACAGTTACTAGGTGTTTAGATAGTCTTATTCAATACAGACCTGACCCTGATCAGTTTCCAATAATTGTCAGCCAAGTAAGTACAACATAATAAAATTTAAACCCTACTGATAAACCACACTTCTCAAACATTTGATGTCAATAATATTAATTTAGAATTTAGTGCCTAGATGTAACTAGCAAGGCAATAAAGTTTATATCTAATAAGCATTGTTTATTGTTTTGTATAGTGTTCATTGTTACATAGAAAAATGTTTGTTTAACAGTTTATTTTTTCTAATTTCACAATTTTTTCTCATGTTTCATTATGTACCTAACCAGCTAAATATTTTTAGGATTGTAATCATGATGAAACAAAAGATGCCATAGAAAATTATGGTACACAAGTTTCCCTCATCCAGCATCCTGATCAATCTGAAATCCAAGTTCCTCCAAAGGAGAAAAAATTTAAAGGTTATTTTAAGATAGCCCGACATTATGGTTGGGCTTTAAACCAGATGTTCTTTAATTTCAATTTTAGTACTGTAATCATAGTAGAAGGTAAATTTCCTTTCAAAATTCTAAATTTTACTACAAAGCAGATTTCACCATTACTCAAAATTAAACTGAATATCTGCCAAATGCAGATTTCACTTACAAAGTCAACATTTTTAAGTAATAATAAATGTAAAACATAAGTATTTTATTGCATTGGTGAAATTCTGTTTCAAGACTCCTAAATTGGTTCTAGTTGAGAAATCATCTCATCAGACAAATTACTTTTTAACGTAATGTAATATAAGAATAGCTAGTTAAATGAGTAGTAGGTTATCAATTGAAAGATTATTATGTAGATCGCAAAAAAAATTATAATTGTAAATTTATTGTAAATAGGTACACCTGAGTGAACTAAAAAAAGAAATGTATAATATTTCATAAATTATTTTTTTTTGTTCTAGTTTTAGCACACAGTATGTCATCTATTTTTTTTTAATATTTAGAGAATTTTAATATAAGTAATACATATCTATTAGTAATATTAAGTTTTGAATTTTTTTTTCTATTTGTTTGAGGTAATCTCTACACTTAATCCTGTTTAGATAAAAAAAAGGTTCAAATATATGTGACTCAGTCATTTATTACTGACTTCTATTGAGATTTCAATACATGATATAATAGTTTTAGCCACCGTGTGCCATCATCAGGCATAAAAACAGTGGTTTCATTGCTAATTCAAACAACAAGACATGCAAATATAATAATATAAGTAAGCATCTTACATGTTTGTTGAATTAGTTATTTTAATGATAGCCCACGGGGGACAAAACGAGTCGCCCTATGTATTGAAATTTCAGTTAATGAAAGTCTATGGTAAATATGACTTTGAGTTTTCTTTCCTCATTAGGTATGGCATATTTATGAAACATGGATGAACTACAAAACTTAAGTTGGAACCATATGGAAAACATTTTTATTATTGATTTTAGGAAAAAAAGTTATTCTTGATAAAAAGTCCTGCATGACCCAAAACCTAAAATACAGTCATCACATATCAAATTTTTCAAGCCTTATATGATGTTTGTCAAAAAATATGAATTTTGCTCAAGAGTAAAGTACGTTTATTTTTGACAAAATCGAAAATTTTCATTAAGAAAAGTTGATTAGAATTGAATATTACATTCAAATATGCAATTACACCGAAAAAACAGATTTTCTTATTTTTTATAAACTCTACACATTGATTGTAAATATCTGAAAACGTTATAAATTACGTTAGCTACTATAAACATGATACGCTTTCCTTTTGTTGATGTTTGTGAAGAATTTAGCAAATTTCTTAATGAAAATTTTCGATTTTGTAAAAAAATAAATGTACTTTACTCTTGAGCAAAATTCATATTTTTTGACAAACCTCGTATACGGCTTGAAAAATTTGATATCTGATGACTGTATTTTAAGTTTTGGGTCATGCAGGACTTTTTATCAAGAATAACTTTTTTCCTAAAATCAATAATAAAAATGTTTTCCATATGGTTCCAACTTAAGTAGACACACTGTATATGCAATTTCACATTGTGACAGGGGATTTGAAATTTTTTATTATTACCTTCACCATTAACTGTCGTGCAAGTTGATAAAATGAAAATTTATATTAAAGATAATTTTTTTTATTAATTTTATTTGACTTTTCAGATGATTTAGAAGTTGCTCCAGACTTTTTTGAATACTTTATGGGCACTTATCCCCTTTTATTAAGGGATAATTCACTATGGTGCATTTCAGCTTGGAATGATAATGGAAAAGAAGGTCTAGTGAATCTACAAAGGCCAGATTTAGTTTATCGTACAGATTTTTTTCCGGGATTAGGATGGATGCTTACTAAAAATGTATGGATGGAACTTTACACAAAGTGGCCAAGAGCGTAAGTTGCCTAATTACCTTTATTAATAATGTTTGTTTTTTTACTGATATGAGTTCTTCCAGTGGTTCTTTAAATGTGCATCATTAATATGTTGTAATATAAAACATACTATTTGTGTAGCATGATTTACTACTATTCCTGACAAAACTAATTACTGTCTTTTAAGAAGAGATGTATGTAGTTGTGATGACCAATTACATTATTCAGTATACTAAAAAGTAGTGATGGGACTTTTTATGAAAAGTAATTTTTGGACTAGTCTGATGGACATATCTGGAAAAGTAGTAAAAAGTATTGAAAAGTAACAATGAAAAATAGTCGACCTTGGACGTAGAAGACACACAGTTGAATCTCCATCCTGGATGTTTTTTCAAAAACACTTTGGAAACAATATTTGTATTTTTGTTTTTTTTTTTAGGCAAAACATTTGTAAAATGCTTCCCACTTTTGGTTTTTTTTGGACATTTTTTCACGTGTTTATTTTAATAAGATATGAAACGAAAATTCGAAAACATTGTTAAAACATAAAAGTCAGTAATCATTTGTCGTTTCTTCTGTTTTAAACTATATTTTGCTTTTGTTTGTAAGAAATTCAGATAAATTAGGTAATTGAATGTCGCGCATGCGCAATACACTTTTCCACTTTTAAAAAGTGTGTTTGGACTACTCAACTTTCAGACTTGTCCGTGGACTTTTCTAAGCGACCCATCACTACTAAAAAGGCATATTTGTTCCTCAGCATGGTTTGGTTATTGAGTTTCTGGTACTTTCTTTTTTTATTTTACAGTAAATTTATTTATATTAAAAATGCCTAACCTCACATACTAACATTCTGTCTACTCCCAAATGGCGTTTTTCTCACAAATATAAATAAATAAGATTGTTTTTATAGGCTCATTATTTCTATATTTATTTTTGTTTTGACTAAAATTTCTCAGCATATTTCATTGGTATATTAGTTATGACGCTTGTTTAAAGAACTGTTGGGCGAACTGTAGAAAAAAATAAAAGAAAAGTAACCATATATTAAATGTTGTTTGTATGAAATATATTAAATACAATATATTCAGAACAAAATTTTTAATTTTAAATTCAGTTTGAGCCGATTAGACTAATGATTTTATGATTTCAAACAATTTTAAAAATACGGTTAAAACAAATCTGATCTGAAAAGTTAAAAAAATGATTCAGTAATTAACATTTTAATATGTAGTATGATGAATGATATGAGGTCTCATGGTGGATTATTAATATATAAGGAATGAAATAGAAAGAAAAGGAATACCTACAATAGGATCCTTTTTCAAATACCCAAGATCTGTAAATGAGGCATAAGGGAACAATTTTTGGAACTAAACTTCTAAATACAGAATTCATGATAAAAGTGGTCCAATAAAACTATAATATGTTAAAGAGAGGGTACCAAACCTTGTTTTTGATCACAGCAATTTGGTTATTTAAATATGAATAATAATATTTATTTTTGTATGTTTGTCCTACTTAAATCTAAAGATTTTTTTTTACATAGTTACCAAAAAAATTTAATACAAGTAATAATAATATTGGATGGGTTGGCTCAGTGGTGAGAGTCATGACTTTGAGATCGAAGGGTCTCAGGTTCGAATCCGCTGGTGGCAGGATTTTCATTTAATTTAATAAATTAAATATTAATTCTAACGCATAGATATTAATCCCCACTAAACCATTCACTTTTCGGCTCTACTTAACAGCGCTGGGAAACAGTAACAAAGCCTACAACAAACACAAGGCTAATAACCATAACACAAAAAAATACAAATAATATGCTAAGATAATATGAATGTTTTTACCTAATTGGAATATTTTAAACTATCTACGAAAGAATGTAATATGTTTCTATAAGTAATTTTAAGGCATTACTAATGGCTATTAATAACCACACATGGCCCCCAAAATCATTCCTATTTAAAATAAATTATTATTTAGTTATTGGGATGATTGGATTCGAGAACCCCTACAAAGAAGAGAAAGATCATGCATTAGGCCAGAACTTTCAAGAACCAGAACGTTCGGAAAGACCGGTGTTTCCAAGTAAGTAAAAAAATCTATGTTTTACTTTTTTTTCATAAACCTACAATAATAGTATTAAAGAGCGATCCACAAAAAGTGTTTCTAAAGTAGGCCATGACGACCCTCAAAGGCAGAGATACGAGTAATTTCTGTGATAATTGCGCCCGCCTCTGAATTAAATCCAAACTGACACATATTGAATAAATAATTTCAAAATATATTAAACTGAGTTTATACAGCAAAATCCCTGTATACTAGATCTTAAATAGGTTCAAACAGAATAAAGAACTGTCTTAAAAATCTTAAAACATCAATTTTTATTGAGATGGGGGCATCTTTCTATCATATCCTCAACTGTCATCATTGAAAAGGTAATTTTATAGGGAGAATTCAGCAATGTAAATGTTCATTGCGTTACTTTTTATTTTAGGGTTCTAGTGGAATAAAACATTGTTACGTATTGTACGACACATTTTATTAGTAATTTAAAGCACAAAATTACAAATATAATTGAATTAAACATGAACTAAATAATTGAAAAACCTAGCAGAGCTCTAACGTTACATTCTTCAATAATAATCAAAATAACAAATTTATTTTACATATTAAATTGCTAATAAAAAAGTTAAAATAAAGTGTCACACTTTACAATAGTTTTTATCCTGTTAAGAGTGTGCTAGACTCAACAGTAATACAATGAACAGTCATATTACTGAATTATAATGATGGAAACTGAAAAAAAAAAAAAAGTTTTTCAAATTTTTTTTTTCTTTAGAAAGAAATTTAGCAACTTTTTAAAATAATCTTTATTTAAAATAGAAACACAAAATAAATACTTGTTTCTAGAATAAACATTTATAAGTATCTATGAATATTAAAAATAAGTTTTTTTATTATAAGAAAAAAAAATAGGCATTTTAAATTTATATGTCGCGAAAGAAAACATTGTTTTGTTAGAAACATAAACATAAAATCCCGAATTTTCGGAAACTTAACAGTACTAAAAACTAAAACCGTGCAGCTAAGCTGTCGAACGATGATAGAAATATCTTTTTTTCGTGAGTCTGAAACTATTTTGGTCCAACCTTGGAGTTTGTATGCTCTATAGTGTCTTGAAGACACTTTAGATGGCAACACTTGTCCATGTCATATTTTTTTTTTTTTTAATTTAAAAAAAAGCAATTTTATATTTCTTTTTTTTTTATATAATTTGATAAATGTTTTTTTAGCATGTTTTTAACGTGTTTTTTTTTGAAGCTTGAAAAAAAAAGTGTTTTCTATCACTAACGAATTATTATATTTTCATTGATGTATCATACTTTATACTTTCTCTGTTTAAATTATATTGGTTAGAGTGAGAGTGGACAGAGAATGACGTTTGACAGTTGAGGATATGATAGAAAGATGACACCCTCTCAATAAAAATGCAATTTGGATATTTTTTGACAGTTTTATATTCTTAAAAAAATTATAATTATCACGTTTTGTTTTGTAAATGGGCACTATACAGGGTGTTTCCGAACTTGGCGTCCAAATTTGTAGGGGTGGTAGTTCGCATAATTTGAGACCGATTCGCAGATTTAATTTTTGCAAAATATTTAAAATTAAAATTATTAAAAATTATAAACAGGTACGGTCCTGCGCGCGCTACGCTTAGAATCTACAAAATTGCAAATCGCATATGTTTTTGAGGACTATTGCGCTACCCGCTCAGGGTAGGACCTGCTCTTTGATTTTTTTTATAATTTCTCTATTTTGTTTATTATAATTTTTTTAGAAAAATGAAATCTGCCAATCGCTCTCAAATTATGCGAACTACCACCCCTACAAATTTGGACGCCAAGTTCGGAAACACCCTGTATTTTTACCTATATTTGCATCAAGTAAATGACTTTACATACATACATTGTGATTTTTGTTGATCAACTTTAACCGTTTCAACAAACAAATGACAATAATTCAACTTTTTATTGTTCAACTATTTTGAAAACAAGTTTTGAGGTTTCTACTTGAATTCATTTTGCTCTCAGCTTAGTTGATCAACAATAAAATATCGTAAAATCTATAATTGATATATTTTTTCTTTCAGCGGAATGTTTTTTGAAAAACATTTAAAATTCATTAAATTAAATGAAGAGTTTGTGCCTTTCACCAAGCTGAATCTTAGCTACTTATTGAAGGTATGTTTTCCAAATATTTCTAAATGAAAAATAAGCTACAGAATAAGAATATTTTATTAATTATAATTTTTTCCTTAATATACAGGGTGTTTCAAAAAGGTATGTCATAAATTCTTCCTCATAGATTACCAAAAAATAAATGAATTTGGCTATATTTACCAATATCAAAAATTGGCTTCTAACAAAGTTACAGGGCGTTAAACTAACATTCAGAAAAACGTTTTTTTTTTTTTTTTGTAAAAAGTTTGCTGTTGCGATTTTTTCTTTGAAATTTTTGCCAGACTGTAGATTTGAAGGCACAATATTCTAAGGAGAAAAAAAAATAAAGCCTCCTTTCAAAAAAAGTTGGGGGTTGGGTACCTTTTAACCCCCCGTATTTTTTTTTATATAAAGAAACTTGCTGTATCGATCTTAAAATCAAAAAGAATGAATTTTTAATTTTTTTTTTAACGAAATGAACTTTGTATCTTAGTTAACGAGCTATTTACAATTTTTTAATTGAATTTCTAGAGTAATTCGTCATCCTGGACTTAACATATTAACAAAACTAAGAGTAGGTCAGGAGTTATTGTACAAAAAACGCATATAAAAATCAGTGGTGTGCCTAAGGTTGTGCGTAGGTCGCCCTTGCAAAAACATCCTCATGGGTTCACCATGCCACTGATAAAAATACACGTTAGTTTAGAAATAAATTTTTATTAAATTTAATAATAAAAAAAATATTGTTTAATTGAACAATTAACAAAAAATTAACAATTAAAAATAAACACTTGATAATAATTATTGTACATATTTTATAAACTATTTAATTTAGTAAATGTTCGACATGTTTTTCTCCTTCTTGAATACAAAAATATAAATAAAAGAGGTAGTTTTTGCAGGGGCGGCTCAAGCACAGCCCTAGACATACCACTGATTTTTATATGCATTGTTTGTACAATAACTCCTGACCTACTCTTAGTTTTGTTGATATGTTAAGTCCAGGACGGACGAATTGCTCTAGAAATTCAGTTAAAAAATTATAAATAGCTCGTTAACTAAGACAGATACAAAGTTCATTTCGCTATAAAAAAAAATTAAAAATTCATAGTTCTTTTTGATTTTAAGATTGATAAAGCAAGTTTCTTTATGTCAAAAAAAAAAAAAAATACGGAGGGTTAAAAGGTACCCAACTTCCCAACTTTTTTTAAGTGGGTCGCTTTAATTTTGTTTCTCCTCAGAATATTGGGCCTTCAAATCTACAGCACTGGCAAAAAATTCAAAGAAAAAATCGCAAAACAGCAAACTTTTTACAAAAAAAGTTTTTTTGAATGTTAGTTGAGGCCATGTAATTTTGTTAGGAGCCAGTTTTTGATATAGATAAATATAGCCAGATCCACTTATTTTTTGGTAATCTATCTGAGGAAGAATTTGACATACCTTTTTGAAACACCCTGTATATATCGCCATGCCAAAATATAAATATAATTTTTTTTTCTGACTATATTAAAGTTATGTAAGTCACGAACCATTAGGTTTTATTAAACACACTAGTTATTTCTGAAATAATTAAATTTTTATTTAAAACTACCCAGCAAACATTTTGGTGTAATTTGACGTCGATACTACCTAAATTATATATAATAAATTTGGTCGCAAAATTAGATTTAACCATAATTAAGTAAAATTTACGTTGGCTCGACGTGGATTCGACATAAGTGGAGAATAAGACGACGTCGAAATTTGGTTTTATTTACCAAAATAGGTAGAATTACATCTAAATCCACATTGTAGTAGCCCAGTACGTTTGGTTAGTAATACCTCTCTAGAGAAATTTGACGTCAGTATAACGTTAATTCGACGTTGATTTAACTAAGTTTAGGTAGAAACTACCAAAATATTTGCAGATGACGTATGCCTCCAAGTGTACGAAAAGAAATTTTATACTTATTTGGTATTTTTATCTATATATAAGTAGAAATATTGTAAGAACACAACTAAAACATATACCTAATTCACATGAAAGATTGAAAAGAAATAAATGTCGGTAAATATATGTAATGTAATTGCGGTGAATATACAGTTCACGCTTGTTGAAATTAATGCGAAGAAAATTTTGTCATGCATGTTAACAGTTCTACTTAGAAAAATAACAATGCCCTTCCAAAATACTCTCTAATTAAAAAAATATAAGATAAAAATATGATCGTGTAAAAAAATAATAATAATATTATGAGATAAACTATGTTACGTTTGTTGTGTATCACTTTAGAAAATCAATGTTTCGTTTTTCGGTATTTTCATTCGTATGTTTTAGTTATGGTCATTTTAAAAATTTAAAATTTGGAATCGTACTTCAATTACGTTAAGAAAATATGGCGTATTCTGCGAATTCGACCTAAAAGTTATTATGACTAAGGAAATCTACGTATTTTACAAATACCGTTTTACTAAGTTGAATTAACTTTAATTTCACGACATATTAGTTAACTTTACCTATTTAAAGAAATAATAACTAAAGACCGGACATTTTAATCGCGTCCAAATAATTGGTTTTAATCACATAGGCGTCTCATTCTGGGTTCGCTATTTAAGACGGCAGACAGTGCGGCAGATTCTAATACTATCAGGACAAACCTCTTTTTTTTATTAAAACAAGATAAAAAAAGTGTACTGATATATACATAGACATTAAAACTAATACAAAAAAGTGAGATTTTTTTTTATCGTGTACCTATATTCTTTGTCTTTTGAATCATTTTCATTAAACAAATTTAATGTTTTCTTCTCACCAACGCCGAGGATATGTAGGATATTTTACAAAAGTTTTTAGTAACCTCAGATCCTTTAATTTGTGGCCTGAGAAATTTTCCTTAAAAAAAAATAACTTTTTTGATGAAGATGTTAAACTTTTCATAAGCGAGTTTAAGGTGTAGTAATGTAAACGATATTCTGTATGATATTTTTTTTATTATTATCTCTTATATAATTACAAAATATCTATTCCTCAATATTTTGGCGTGGTACACTACTCTCCTGCCTAAAATGAGGATCGAGGACCCCAGCTGCCTCCCCCGAATTTGTTATTTCCTCCAGAAAATTGGAAATTTCTAGCCTTAGCTGGTCCCGATTCATTGTTGGAGAAATTGCATCGGGGCCAAATATTAGGACTCTACGAGCGTTTGGACTAAGACGCTGTAGAGAGGGCCTAAAATGAATGTCAAATAGGCCCATCATATGTTGTCTTATACTTTCTCGATCCATTGTCGGTTAGTTGCCGGTGATATTTTTATTCAAATAAAGTCAATCCTTATATTATATTTATGAATATTTTGGCTTTTATCGATACCGTACATACCGATTTTTTGTAACAAAACATTTATGTTTTTATTTCCTGTGGATATTATGGTACTTATACACGATGAGACAATAAAATAAATGTCTGTTAAATTTCTGTAATGTATGTATTAATTCAATTGCTCACTCTATATAGGTATCTGTTGGTTGAAAAAATGTAAAAAGATAACAAAGAGTCGATAAACAGGAGATTTGAGAAGAAAGTGTCTTGTAAAAATATCACTAGATTTTTCCAATGAGTATATTTGTTTAGTTCAAAGGGAAAAGTGATAGAAACTGGAAACGTAAATATGGAAAATTTATTATCGGACTTTGATTGTTTTCGTCGTTTTAATGACAACAAATTATACTGCCGCAATTGTGATCAGGTGTTAGTTTTTAATGGAAAGTCAAGTATGACACAACATGTGAAAACACAAAAACACATGCAATCTTTAGAGGGATGTCCAGACAAAATCTTTTATGAAGATTTATGCAACGCATTTGTTTCTGCAAATATTCCATTAACAAAATTAAATAATACAATTTTCAAAAATTTTCTTTGTAAATATACTAAACGTAAAATACCGGATGAATCCACAATTAGAAAACATTATATTCAAAATCAGTACGATAAAGCAATGACGGCAATAAAAACGAAAATTTCCAGCAAATATATTTGGGTTAGTGCAGATGAAACGACTGACATAAAGGGTAGATGTGTTGTTAATGTTGTTGTAGGATTATTAAGTGCTGAAAATACTTCACAACAGTATTTAGTTTCTAGTGTGTTTCGTGAAACTGTGAACGCTGAAATGATTTATGAAATAGTGAAACGTGGATTGAACAATGTAATTGATAATGACGTTTCAAAAGTTTTATTGTTTATTTCAGACGCGGCAAGTGTAATGTTGAAAACAGGGAAACTATTACAAGAACATTTTCCAAACATGCTGCATGTAACTTGCCTTGCTCACGCGTTACACCGAGTTTGTGAGTTTATCCGTGACAGCTTTCCAGACATTAATTCGTTGATTAGCTGTTTTAAAAAAATTTTGTTAAAAGCACCGTCCCGAGTTTCTTTATATAAAGAAATATGTCCGAATATCCCCCTACCTCCACAACCAGTTATTACACGATGGGGAACTTGGTTACAGGCTGTGTTCTTTTTTTCGGAGCATTTCGACAGACTAAAAGTATTTATTTCCAACTTATCAGAGGACGCTCTCTCTATCACTCAGTGTAAAGGTTTAATAACAAAAACAACTTTGCAGTCGGAGTTAAATTTTCTTGCGACTTATTTTTCGTGTCTCCCAGAAACTATAAAATTCCTTGAAACCCGTAACTTACAATTATCGGTTGCTATGGAAAAATTTGAATCGACATTGTTACACTTAAAAAACGTAAAGTGGCCCTTACAAGATAAATTTAACCATAAAATAGATTGTGTTATTAAAAGAAATCCAAATTTACAGACTCTGAAACAAATCTCCCTGAACAATTTTAACGATTATGAAACTGCTTTAAAATATTGTGATTTTGTTCCACATTTTTCATTTGCTCCTGTAACGAGTTGTGACGTAGAACGATCGTTTTCTAGGTTTAAAGATTTATTGACTTCTAAAAGAAGTAATTTCACTGAAGACAATTTAGAAAAATATGCAGTCATACAAACATATTTTTCAAATGAAGAAGATTGATATTAATTTGTATTGTATATATTGTATATAATTGTATATTTGCTACTTTAGGATAAAGAGTGTATATTGGAACACTCTAAACATAAAACTAATGATGGTGTATCCTCGTTGATATATTTATTAGTCAATAATATATTAACAGAAAAAGCCAACAACATTATCCCACAACACAATAAAAAAATAAATAATAATATCATTTGTAATTATATAATAATATCCAACCAAATTTGAACTAAAATTTAATAAAATAATTATTGCAATGTAAATGTAATAATAAGCCCGCCCCAAATGTTACGCCCGGGCGATAAAAATCCAATATCTTATCTACTGTGTCGACCAGTTCAGTAAATAACTTGTTTTATTCAGAATGTATTATTCAAATCGAAGGTCCGCTCTTACCGTTACTTCGCTGATAAGAATAAATTAAATTGTCCGGTCTTTAATAATAACTTATAGGTTTTATAAAAAATTTACCTATAGGTAAATATAACATATTTAGGTCACGTTGTTCTGCACTTGAGATTTTAGACGTTTCACTTTACGATAAAAATCGGAAGTATAACGATATGATTTATTATTTTTCGAACTCATTTTATTAATTATTTTTCGCACTCATTTAAAGCTCTATCTACACCACACGTAAATTAAGATTACGACTGTAATGGTTTTTTTAAAATGGCCAATTCTTAAGAATAATGACGAAGACATTAACTGAACAACCTAATTGTTAAAATAACCTAAATAATATAAATTTTACAAATAGGTCATGTATGACTCTTTTTAAATTGGTGGTTTTTAGTCGAATTTACTTTGTGGTAGATTTTTCAGGTAATTGCTACAACAAAGTTAATAAATATTTCTTCAAGATGACTTATAGGTCAACTAAATGAGTATTCGACTATTTGGTTGAAATTAGGTAAATAAACAGGTAGAATTTTGCTACGATCTCGACCTAATATTACTTTAAAGGAGAGTAAATAAAAGCGGCCAAATAGGTTACTATGAAGGCATAAAATTACGTAGAATTTTTAACCAAATCCACCTAGTTGGATATTCTACTATAAAGTCGATTTTTAGTTGCCAAACAGGTAGATATTACCTAAATATGGCACCTAATTTTACTACAAAGGAAATTTAACTTTGAAGTAATTGTTGGTTATTTTTTTAGTAGTTTTTCCCTTACTAATATGGTTAAAGTTACTTTTAAGCAGATTTGTGTAAAAGGTAGATTTCTTGGTATAATTTACGTAAATTTAAACATAAATTAAAACCGTTTGGTAAATTTACATTAGAGGTATATTTTTCTAGTCAATTTTACGTAATAATTACCTCAATAAGTAAATTCGTCTTTAACAAAGTCGAGTTATAACTAATGTTATAGAAAATGTTTGCTGGGTATTAGGGGATCCAGACAATAAAAATTTACAATTAGGTACCTACTAAAAAGCAAAATTAACATAAATTACTAAGTAATCTTGTGTTCAATTTATAAATTTGACAGGCTTTTCAAGTTTATAATAATTGTATAAATACCATTTTCATTGAATTATTCAATATACTATTCTGAAGCTAGAATAATCTTTTGTTTCTTAATATTAATAATATTTTACTTTAGGAAAATTATGACAATGATTTCGTTAAAAAAGTCTACCAAAGTCCAGTAGTAAATTATGAAGATCTCAAGGCAGATAAAGTAACTTTCCAGGTTCCAGTTAGAGTTACTTATCGATCTCGAGAGGATTATAAGAGAATTACAAAAAAATTAGGGTTGATGGACGATTTCAAAGTGAGTATATTTATTTTATCAATTCCTTTTATTAAAAAAGATTATTGGAAATAATTGCCAACTTTTTTTAAAAGAATATTTTTAAATAATTATATATTTGATTCTTACTTTCAGAGTGGGGTCCCTCGAACAGCTTATAAGGGAATAGTAACATTCCATTATAAAGGAAAAACGGTACACTTAGCGCCAAATGTAAACTGGAAAGGTTATGACGTCACGTGGAGTTAGTTATAAATGTTAGAATAATTTTACTGACCATTTATTTTTGTAATTATTTATGTTACGTTAAAAAAAGTAACTAATTTATTTTCCCTTGTGATATTTTACTTATTGAACTCCCTTATTGGGTGTTGTTAAAAAGATTTTTTTGTACATAACTAGCTACTCTTCGATGTAAATATGACAAATTAAATTAATTATGGTTGTGAATTGTGTATTATTTTGAACAGTGTTCAATTTTTTATAAGAATGTTCTTTTTCCAAATTAAATTATTTGTTCGAAAGAGGTATTTTGTAACTACTTTAAATTTCCTCCCTGAATAATCGGAAATCAAATTAATTTTATAAATCGAAATTTAAACTATTTAGTTCCAAATGCAACAATAGTTGTATTTTTATTTCTTAATATTTTTTTTACTATTTACCATGTGTTTTTTAATAAATTGTATTGTAAACAGAGATGTGAACTGGTAAATTACCGTGGCAATTTACCGTAATTAACCAGAAATAAATTATAGTAATTCCTTCCTCAGAAAGCCGAAAGGCGCAAGTTCGTACTGTAGGTATTCTTTCAGTTCAATGTCAATGCCAGGTCAACAATAATAAGGAAATATTTACTGTAGATTCTGATAATTACAAAATCTTTATATCGGAGTATGTAGGGGCGCACTTCAAAACATCACAGCATTTATTATATATGACCAAATGTATCAAATCGGGCATCTGCAGACTCAGAAATCATTACTCTTTTAGAAAAAAAAATTACATAATTGTTTCATAGCGATGTTCGTCTTACTCCGCGCTGAAATTCTCATTTTGTTGAACATTGCAAATCAACCCCCTACTTTGGCGCATCGTAGAGCGGGAACTATTGGTCGCAGACAAAAAATGTATAGGTCAAAATTATGCACGATTTTATCCTGTACATATTTCATATTAACTTTTTTCGATGATTTCCCAAAAAGCGTCACGACGCAGAGTTTTCATCCCTCCACCCTTCGAGCGGCAACCCCCCCCCCCCCCGAGCTCACAAACTTAGGTGTAGTATCAGGGGACCCATGTCTACCATCCCACCAAATTTTACTTCTTTCCGACCTTTTGCCCACCGCTTGGGCTATATTAATTTTTCTTAGAAATAAATATAAACTGTCACTGTCACAACACTCATAACATTATATTTAAAAATCTGATGTGTCCAACACATGACTTTCCTATCTAGTTAACTTATTGCAGCATCTCTAAAAATGTTTAGAGGACCAACTAAATATATACATTTTCCACATACATCTACCTCGAAACATTTTTCTATAGATATTCATTGAAAACGAAAATACTGAAAAATTTTAATTTAGCACTTTTCCTCCAATTTTTCCATTACGGTCCATTTTAGAAAAGTCATTTAAAAACAAAAATTATAGAGATCGATATCGCAAACAACTTTTAGAGAAACAATTTTCTTAAAAATCAGAATTTTGCACATTTTGTCAAATTTCTCGAATACGGACCATTTCAGGAAAATTTGACATAGAACAAAAATTATAGATAATAATATTGTAAGTAACTTTTATTTAAAGAATTTTCTTCCCCAAACGTAAATAACGAATATATTCCATAAAATATAAAAATTACCACCAATAAAGTACCCCCCCAAATGTTCCGACTCTGTCCAAAATCTAATTAGTTCACCTCAGGTCGAAATAAAACTTAAGTTTAAAATTTAATATTTTTTCCTTTATCCGTTTTTGAGTTTTCTTCAAAATTCGAAATTTACACATTTTCTCAAATATCTCGAATACGGTCCATTTTAGAGAAATTATTTATAGGATAAAAATTATAGAGAATTATATTACAAACAACTTTTATTTGAACAATTTTTATAAAAAATTATTTTTTTTACATTTTGTCAAATTTCTCGAATACGGACCATTTTAGGAAAATTTTATATAGAACAAAAATTATAGATAATAATATTGTAAGTAACTTTTATTTGAAGAATTTTCTTCTCCAAACGTAAATAACGAATATATTCCATAAAATATAAAAATGACCACCTATAAAGTACCCCCCCAGATGTTCCGACTCTACCCAAAATCTAATCAGCTCATTGGACGCTGAAACAAAGCTTAAGTTTAAAATTTGGTGTTTTTATGTGTATCGGTTCATGAGTTATGCGTTATACAGACACACACACACACAGACATCATCGCGAAAATAGTCAAAACGGATTCAGGGGACCTCAAAACGTAAAAATCCGTCAAAAACTCGAGGTCGAAAAAAATCATGATTCCTATACTTTCCTTATATCTGTATACAGATAGGAAAGTAAAAAGGCGTGCAACATTACAATCTCGACTGGTTGAATACCACTCGTCTTTATGTCTAACAACAAATGTCGAATCCGCCATTCCAGAATACGTTTTTGCGTTCTTATTCGACATTTCAGCAATGTCGTGTGTGACATTTAGAAATAGACATTAGAGAATAGGGCCCCTGGGCCATTCTGCAGTATCAGCAGTAACATGGAGAGATTAAAAAAGAATTGGGCAGTAGAAGAACCGATAATTGGAACGATCTCTTGGGGCTGAGACAGGCCAAGATACTTCTGGGTGAATATAACCAGAAAATATCGGAAGCCTGCATCTGTCTGAGCAAGAACAGGCTACATATTGTAACAGGGATCCTTACCGGGCATTGCCGACTAAAAGGACACCTAAGTAAACAGAGTAGTAGAGGATAGTGAGTGCAGATTCTGTGAGGAGGACGAAACCTCCATTCACATCCTAACTGAATGTGTAGCACTCCAGAATCCAAGGGCACTCTATCTTGGAGGATATCAAATAGAAGAGGAAGATTTACCTAACTTGAAGCCACTTCAAATCCTACACTTCCTTGAGAAAATAGGATTGGAAGGGTCGTTATTGGCATTGCATTTCCTTAGTGCATTGGCAACAGAAGGGGACACAATAGATCTTTTAGGTCGCAGTGTATTAACACCCCATTCTCAACATAACATACCACACATGCGCCTGTGTTATATAAAATAGTAGATACGAAAGCAGCTCGTCATGAAGTAACTTTCATGTACAACATTATATCCAAAGTAATTGATGAAATAGGCTTAGAAAAAATTATGTCAATTACAACAGACGATGAAAGAAACATGACAGCAAGCTGGAATTTACTTGCAGAAAAGTATTGCCATTTATAGATCTAAAGAAGGCCTATTTGCTAAGGACTTCGTATGGACCAGTCTAAAAAATGGAAAACTGTCAGCAGTGACTTGGTGAAAATCGATTTGTTTAACAACGAAGTTAAGCAAAGTAACTGTAGAAGTATTAAACTACCCACCGTCAACTGCTGCCACAAAACGAAGCTTATCAACGTATGGAAATGTCCATACAGATGAAATAAATCGACTAACAAATGAAAGGGCACAAAAAATTGTTTATATCAGACAAATTTAAATATAGCGGAATGTTCATCCGGTTTATTACAATCTTCTTTGGAGTCTGAATCTGGATATGAATCCGACTGGTCTGAAATAGATAGTGAAACTTAACTAGATAAAATAGTTAATTTAGAGATCTCATTTAGTCTAGCTCATTGTGAAATGCCAATGTAACATATGCATAATATAATTAATAAAAGATAATCTTATATAATTCTTATATTAAAATAAATTTTTCTTATACAAAGTACAAGGAACTTAAGTTTTTTTTTAGATTAAGCACCTGCACAAACAATAAAATTTCATTTGATGTTTTGTTTTCTTTCGTGTTTTGTATTACTTAATCTTAAATTTAAATTATATTTAGTAACAAATAAATAGTTTTATTCACAAACAAATGAAACAATTCTATGTTCGACACAGACACATACCTTAATTTAATTTCGAAGTCATTATTAGTCATGTATGTGAATAATTACCACAGTAATTTACGACACAAATTTATTACCAGGGTAATTAATTTTGATAATTAAAACCCGTAAATTACCAAAAATATAAATTACGGTAATTTTACATCACTGATTGTAAAGGGAATAGATATTAAAAAAATTGTAAATTTATAAAAATATATTTATAAATAAATAACTAATTCCTAATCTAAACTGGTAAAATCAAATGGTTCATAATCAGTTCTGAGTTTCTGTACTAATTTTTTCTCATCTTCTTTGTCCAAGATACAATTTTTCCAATCCTCTCTCTCCTTCATATTCAATATTGGCCCAGAAGCAAGAACTTCCCTAGCGAAATTCAAGGGAAAATCGACAGATCCTTGCAATTTGGTGTAAATCAATAATCCGTCTGGAAGTTCCACTGTAAAATAGGGTACTTTTGGAGGTAAAACTTGGTCAAGCCGATTGTGAGAGTCTAATGTCTCTAGTTTAAATCCTTGAGCTTCTGATTCTTCCTACAAAAATGACCTGAGTTAAAGAGTTTAATTTTATAACGTTTGATTTTAGCTCATGACATTTAATCTGTTGTCAAAAACCTTGATCATCTCCTTACTACATTTGAAACATGCTCAAAAGAAAACTTTTGGTTGTGATTCAAAAAGTTGGATTTTTTTATTTTAAGCTATGGCGACAACATAACCGTAATGGGTAATCTTTGATCAGTTGTGAACCACACTAAACCTTATAGTTCAAATGACAGACAGTCAAAGTAATACTAATTCATATATTCATTTATAGATTAACTAATGGCAAGCACAAATGGAACATTTATATGAGGGTTGCCTTTTATATTTCGGGATTTGACAACCATGGCGCTGCCACCTCTCAACTGACATCGCTATCGTAAAGTTTCACATGTCTGACAGTATATGCACTCAGAACCTTTTTTGCCGTACGAGCGCTATTTGTATTGTTTACAGTAACTTGAAAAATTCATCTCCGTCAAAAAATGAAATTAAATCGTGATAATTTTCGTCCGATTATTTATTACATCTTTCAACGTGGATTAACTCGACAAGTGCATCAATGAACTTAATTTGGTTTACTGAATTCAGTCGTGGCCGTAGCTCACTGAACGACGTCAAGGTTGTCCAAAATCGGTTGTTCCAAAAAACATTGATGGTGGGCATGAACTAATACTGCAAGATGTTCAAAAGGCATCTAAGTGGAAAAAGTGCTTCGGAAATTGGTTCAAACGCATGCAAAAGTATATTGATTTTAACGAAGAATATTTTAAAAAATAATGAGCAATTTTCGATGATAAATATTTGTTTTTGTTCTCGTAATCCCGAAATATAAAAGGTGACCATCTTATTAGCTGCTTATCTACAAAATGGGCAATAGATTTGCTACATTGTCAATTCTAAATCATTCTAATTAAATAACATAATTATCTTAAACATATTTGTTTTTTTTACCTCCAAAATGCAAAAATAATATTAAAATGCATACTTACAATAAATATTTCTTTTAATTCTTTGTTGGCATATTTGGAAATAGGTATGACTTGTAATTGCATGTGAGAAGTTTTATAATTTCGTTCAAAAAACACAGGTAATTTCCCATCCCTTTCATAAAACTTTCTAATACTATCTTTGAATTGATTTATTTCAGCTAGAACTTCATTATTTAAAGCAAGGATGCTTTGGTGGTGTTCTATAGGGCAAATGAGAAAATGTTCTTCAACTAGGCCACCTGTAAAAAGTATAAAAAATTGTGACCTCTATTTTCGTACAAATTTTTTCATTGGGTTATATATAAAATTGTTTCGGTACCTTTAGCTAAAGCTAAATAAGCGTGATTTCCAACTGCGATGATAAGATGTTTCTCTACAGATGGACTGGCAAGACAGAACCAACATTTATTCTGGTCAAATTCAATTCTTGGTTTTTTACCCCTTTTCTTCTTTTTGTCATCATCCACAGAAGTATTCATATCGTAGAAATATTGATTTGGTTTTGAAGTTTTCTTTGAGCTTTTGAAAACTGAAGAAATTAAATATTATTGTAAATGATAAAAAGTATATAAAGTGTTCAGTTGTAAAAATAATCACTTTAGAAACTATAAAGTTTAGGAGGAATATGAGTCCAGTTAAAAAAAGTTTTAACAAGCATTTCACATATTGACAGTGAATCCCAAAAAGTGTGTAACTTAATTTTAGGAAATTTTACAGAAGACAAAAATAGCTTTTTCTAAAAATAGGTCTGAGTGTTTTGCTTGCGTTTTGTGATGTTGCCTTGTTAAGAATCAATTATGCGAATTACCAAATTAGCAGAGATCTCAGATAAATAATTTGTTCATTTGAGGCAGAGATACACTTTGTTTGTTTACAAATATGTCAGCTGTCTGGAGTTACTTAGCTAGCTAATAGATGACACTAAAATCTGAAATTCATTAAAATGTGCAATTTTACACATTTTTCATGTTTCACCTTCGATTCATTATTCTTATTATTATTTGTATTACTTACTCTTTTGTTCTAATTCAGATATGTTAAATGGACACAACGTCTCATCAGTAGTTTTCTGCAACAACTCATTCAATTTCATTTTCTCTAAAGACATCAAACTTAAGGCGTATATCCACTTGTCTTTATTTGGATTCCCCACTCGTGCTAAACCTATAAATCTTGTAGCTACTTCCATTGTAGTATCATGATCTCCTAGATTTGGACATCGAAAGGGGGGCCTTTCATAATAAACCCCTTCAAGGCCACTTATTACATAGCGAGGTTTAAGTTTCATACATAAATAACTTGGTAAATCACTCATCATATTTATTGAGAGGGATATCTAAAAAACAGAAATAGTATAACATACACATTGTGTAATGAACTTATTAAACTCTGTAGAACAATATTTATAAATCTATTTACCAAACTCCCCAAATATTTTTTTTTTATTACATGAGTATGTCAAAAATATTTACTTTTGAATCTCCACTAATTATATTTGAAGGCCATTGGGATGTTAATAAAATATCAACACCTCTAAAAGACGAATTTCCTTTTATACATGAATCACAAAGCTCTGTCACATCTTTTTCAGAGTAGGTCCATGGTCCTTTAGAATTTACACCTGATATTCCACTTATATAGGCAATTTTCAATCCTTTACTGTCTGTGTATATTCCCCGTTTACCTAAAATTTTGTTTATTTGAAATCAGATAAATTGTTAAAAATTTTCATTTTACCTAGGTAGTAAACATTAGAACATAGTTCAAAATGTGATTCATCTGTTGGATATTCTTTGACATTTTCTTCATTATTTGATCCTAATATATAAGTTGGTACTGGAACTATAAATATTATTTCATGAAAAATAATTTCTTCTAACTCGGAAAATAATTTTTAATCAAATAAAATTAATAATGGGGGAATGTTTTTAAATAGTTACCTATTTGTAAATCATTATGACTCCTATACACGATCGACCATTGTATAATTTATTTATTTATTTACGAGTCCATTAAAACAATACAATACATATCACATTTATTAAATAGTAATAAAATTCTAAATAATAATAATGAATGAATTAAAATATATACATATTAAAAAACAATTAATTAAAAATCTAACATCTATTCCTCACATATACATAAATGGTTAGAAAATTCTGATGGAGAAGTAATTTATTCTACATTTTAGTCTATTAGCAGATCTTGTCACTCTAGGAATAAAAGAATGAGAACCATAATTTGTTCTATGGAAAGGTTGGGAGAATGTATTAATATTCCTAGTTACTCTAGATGGTACAGAAAATCCAATTTGGGATAACAAGTAGGGACAATCGCAGATGAGTTAATAATGTTGAACAATATTTTAAGATCCTTTTGGTATCTTCTGCTCAGAAGGGTCTCAAGATGACAAAGTGTGTGTAATTCGTCATAATTGTATCTGAAGTTGACTGCGACGATACCCATTTTAAATGAAACAATGCGTAAGCATTTTCTTTGAAATGTTCTATATTATGGATTAGATATACATAAAAAGGATTCCATACAGCAAAAGCATATTCAACATAAGGTCTAACTAAGGCACAATAAAGAATCTTTAAACACATCACATTATAAAAATCAGAAGTAGTTCTTCTAAGGAAACCCAACATTCTTAATGCTTTATTAACTAAGGGCGTTATATGAGTTTGAAAAAAAAAAAAAAGGGTAGAATTTAGTATCACAACCATATCTTTTACTGTAATGGTATCCAGTGTTATTGATTTTATAGATATATTCAATAGGACTATGTTTTCTGTTGAAGTTGATTGCATGACATTTATTTGTATTTAATTCCATACCATTAGTACTACACCATTGGACCAAGTAATCAAAGTCTTTTTTAAGGCAAATACAATCATGTAAGGAATTTACACATATGAATAATTTTAAATCATCAGCAAAGCAAAGGAACTAAGAATTCTTAAAACAATTTTGGATGTCATTATTATATATGTATTAAAAAGTAGAGGTCCCAAATGTGATCCTTGGGGGACACCTGATGTAGCGGTAAAGCCAGAGGATAAGAAGCCAGAAACATGAACAATTTGAATGTGGTTCGTTATGAAGCATTCGATCCATAATGAGCCATCATTGATCCCATCATTATGCTGTCATCCACACGATCGGCCATTGTATTGCTATGTATGTGGTTTGTGCATACACTCATCATATAAACAATGTTAATAACATTGTAAATTATTCAAGAAATGTTTCTAGTACCTACCACTCAAATTCAAACTGACAGATCAGCAATCATGTCAAAACATAAAAGTAACTACAAGCAATTACCTTTGATCCATGTGTAAAAAACCAAGAACTCATCGATTACTGACAATCATTGACATTCATGGCTGATCACACTATTCACAGACACAGGATGGTACTCGCCTATGATAGCTGATCATGTGTAGGAGCCATTACATGTGGGAAAATTTAAATTATGCTTTGTGCATTAGGCTGTAAAAGAACAACCACATGTTTTCAATGTTATAACATATGGTGGTTCACAATACTAGACTGGAGACTTTATCAAATTATGTATTAAAAATATTGGTCTTTTGTAAGGCTGTAATTCTGGCTGTTCCCTGAAAATAAAATGCGAATGAGGGGAAAATGGTATGGCACTGGAAAAAAGGCCTAGAGACCAAAACAATACAATTATTGTGGGAATAAATGTATGGCACACAGATTACATTTTATGGTTTGTTACAGCTAAAGGAGGAATGTCACAAAATATTTTTTAGGAAAATATTAAAAACATTATTTGCTTACAAAATTAACTACATAGGGATTTAAAGAATGGAAGATTTTAAGTCAGTTAATTATATTGTTCTTTTCACGACTGTTTGTTTTCAACTGATGGTGTGATTAATACTTGTAGCTTCAAATTTGAATTATTGAAATGAGATTATAATCAAAATTTTTATGACATTTGAGCTTCTTCTCCTGTACACTTCTTTGAAATTTTATTAATGATTTTTGTTTCATAACCTAATGTAATTTAATTGATCACTCATAATTAAAAAACTAGTAGATTCAAGTACTGCTTGATGTTATATTAATTTAATGAGTACTCATAACTAATTTTAGGTCATTAATATTACTAAAAAATTGAAATATTAGTGCCATATATAGTATAATTAAAATTTGTGAATTGTCGTTATTTTTTGCTTATTTTTAAAAATAGCACTACGATTTCCCAACCTTTTTTATCACCAAGTTTGTAGGAAATAAATTCTCTATTATTGATTCCAAAAAAATTTCCAACACATAGAAGGCAATCAAAAGGTCCTGATTTTTTGTTGATAGTTTCCACTCTCTTAAAAAGTTGATCAAATTTTCCTTCGACGTCTCCACAAACTAATCTAAAATTATTGATTTTATTCATTGAATGCAGTTTAACAAGAATATTTAAATAAACTTACATTTTTTGTTTTTCTGCCATTTCTAAAATATAGTTATTATTTTAATTTAAGAATATAGGTATTTAATCCATAAAGAAGCAAATCTTAAACAAACCCTCACCCTTACGGCTATGTACTTTCCTCATAAAGCTCCTTATTTTATATCTGAGATTTTATCATGATTTTAAATATTTGTTTTGAAAATTTGAACAATTTTGAGGTTATGTGATGTGTTTGTCTTCTTTTTTTCTGGCCTTTCACAATCTGCGAAAAAAGCTATAAGGTATTTTTCGCGGCATAAACCAACATAGGGTCCTATGATTGAACGTTTACGTTATCCGTAACGTACATGTTAGGCCGAATTTTAAAAGTAACGAGGCAAGTTCGGATGATGGAAAACTGTTAAATTAGAAGATAATAGGCGGAAAATAACATTAACGTGTTGGAAAAGGTTTTCCATCATACGAACTTGCCTCATTACTGTTAAAACTCGGCCTAACATGTACGTTACGGATAACGTAAACGTTCAATCATAGGACCCATTAACGTTTATGGTAGATTATGTTACATAGATAAATTAATAATTAATAAAGAAGATAGTCGGATCCCGTGTTAATTTTTGGAAACAAACAGTGCTGCGAATTAGTATGGAACGGATTTTTTTTTGAACTACACTGGCTGATTGACTTGCCAGTTAGAGGCCGAATAAGAAAGAGACGAATAAAAAAAGAAGAGCTTTAAGCGAACCGCGGTTCATTCAAATATATGTAATTTATTTACATTTTTTTGGCATTCATTACTCTAAAAAAACTAATATTTACATCAAAATGGTGAATTTAACATAAATATTAGTTTTTTTTTTCGTAATAAAACCCCAAAAAATATAAACAAAAAATATTTACATTAAAATAAAATATTTGAAACATATATTTTAATTATTTATTATACAGTAATACATACATACATACATGAGCTTAATAGTAAATAACAATTGTAAGTAAAATGAATAGTAGGTAGTCTCCCCCATTCTTGGAAAAATGGACCATATTTTGTTGGGTGTCCCCTGTTTCCTATAAAAACAAAACAAAAAGTCTACATATGTCTTATTGAACAATTTCTCTTATCAAATATTAATAAAATACAACTTTTTCTCTTTAGGACTTAAATTTCTGACTACTTTTATTTATTTATTGTTTTTCTTCGTTTCAAGGGTCGTTCAAATTGTTCATCACTAATTATTAAGTTTGCAACTAATTTCTTGTTTTTCTTATGCTGCTATAAACGTTTATGTTGGTTTATGCCGCGAAAAATACCTTTATGTTATGTTATTTAGGCATGATCTTCCGTTTTGGCCGACATCAAGGACCGGAGGGGAGGTTGTAATGACGTCACTGTTTAGCATACTCGAACATGATCTCATCCACAGGCGGTTATGTTAATTCATATGTTTGACAAATGACAAGAACCGGTATACAAAGCTAAAAGACAGCTTTAATTTTAAAATTTAAATTAAATAAGATTGAAATTGAAGTAGAGGAAAGATACGAAATTATTCAACAATTAAAGATAGTAAATATAAATACCACAAGTAGAATTTGTTGTAATTTTTAGACAATAGGTACATTAATAATTAATACAAAATAATTAAACTCTTAGGAAAAATCGCGTGGTTTACACACACATTAAGTAATTGAAGTAATAAAAAATTGTTACTTCAACTCACTGCCCACTTTCAAAACCGCATGGATTTTCCATTTTCGCGTCAACATATACTATATGCGGTGGGGGGATAGACGAACATGATCGAACAACATAATCCGTTTATGTCGCGAAAAATACCTTCATGTGATATGTGATACGTCCTCTGGGGGAAATTTGCAAAATGTGCCTGTAAGTAGGCTTTTTTAAATTGTTGCCAACAGTAGCGGAATTCCGCTACGTCGACATATTTTTGCACTTTTAGCAGTGGAAAGACCATTTTTAATAGACCGTCATATAGTGACCGATTTAGGAGCCCCATATTTCACGGCATAAGAAACAATCGGCAGGCTCACTTGCCGCTGATCGCATACAAATATTATACTAAGAAAATTTGACCTTGGCGACGCCATTCGGGGGTCTTAGTCAGGGTCGGACTAAAGCGTATTTAAAGATTTTGTAATAAAATAAGGTATTGATAGGCAGGATCGTATTAAAACAATAAAGTAAAAATTTACGTAAAATATATTTTAATTTAACTCTTAAGAACGGCATTAAGAAAGACAATGGGGTCTATTCTGTAACAATTCCTTTATATTTAACGGCCTTTAAAAATATTGGCGGCCTTTAAAAACATTTTCGTATTCGTTAATTTACTTCTGTCATTATTTAAACAGATTTCTTTAAGATAATATTTTTATAGGCCGTTAAATATAAAGGAATTGTTACTAGACCCCAATATGCTTTACAGTTGCGCCAAATAATTAGCTTGTTTTTATTGATGGTCTTAAAATTTCTAATAATATTTTTAAAGTGTAATATGAGTAGCCTTAAATATAACTTAATAACATATATTTCTGGAAATCGGGGACAAGGAGCATCAAATGTTATCTCGGAATTAATTAAATCTAAAAAAAAATTACAAACGCCGGATTTAGTGATAAATAATTCAAAATTGTGTTGAAAAATTATTTCAATTTTTGTTATTAAACATACAAAACTATTATTTGACATTTTTAAATTGCCAAAAATATCTTCATTTGCTTTTTTGTATGCTTTATAATAACAATACATGGAACTTGTATCCAAGTCTTCGTGTGGTAAGACATATTGTGTACATACATCGAAACTGTGAATTTTAAAACATTTTTTTTATTCAAAATCCGCATATAATATAATAAAATTTTCTTAAAAAATATTAATATTTTGTGCATGCAATTCATTAATATGCTTGTTTATATTTACATTTTCGACAATATTGCCACCATTACACGTGACTTTGGAAAATGGCTCATCCTTACTAGTCCTACGAATTTCATGCAGCCTTATATACAAGTAAAGCATCCCCACCTGTTTCGCAGTTTTCAGTTCCAGAATGAAATAAATTTAAACATTGCAATTTTTTGAACGTTCTTTGAAATTGGACCGATGTAGGGTTTACACAGTTACCATCATGGAGGAAGGATAATTAAGAGTTGGAGTTGCAGATTCCTCACAAAAATTTGGCAGCATGTTTACCTTCAGCGACATATGGAATAGTTTTGTGCAATTAATACTCAGTCGGTAATATAGAAAGATGTAATGCTATTTTAGTTTGAAAATTGGCGGGCTTTTGAATTTACTTCGACAAAATATAAGAATTTTACATTTTTAATAGCACTGCTTAAGACACATGATTTTGATTGTATGTGACTCATTACTAATTTTTAATTTACTACTTATAATTTCTTTAATGGCTAATTAAGATTTTCTTGCTTTTTGTAATGAAAATACTTTAGATTTATCAAGATTATAAAGCTTTGTTATTCGCATATCTAGAATAATTATTATCAAAATGAATATCAGAATTAAATTTTTGTTAAGCATTTCAATATTTGGGAATAACACAATTACGATAAATATTAATTTTTTTTCAGAAAAAATAGTCATTCCTTACAAAAAATTCTGCTTGTTGAAAAAAATTACGAGAAAAAGTTTCCTTTTAAAGTTATGAAGGAAAATCGACAGGAAAACTGTGACTTTTCTTCGTAAAATCAATATAGGTAATACAGATTTTTTCCTTTTGTCAATTTTAAGTTTCTTCATTTATTAACATATTAATATAGTAAACCTTTTTTTTCGTCAAACAGAATTTTTTTATAATGACTTTTTCCTTAAAATAAAAATAAAGATTTTTCCATTTTGTCAACTCCATACGGGAGATGTTTAAAATATAACATTTTACTTTAAATCTTAATAATATAGGTACCTACATAAGTAAATATAAATTGACGCTAAACTTTACATGACGTAAACTAGGCCTCCCTACATCTTACTAATAGGTTTATAACTGACAAACTGACCCATAACCTAGGATTTTTTTTAAAAGTATACTATACATACCTACCTAATAGGATCTTTAAGAAACCGAAAAAATCTTTTAATACAGTTTATTCATATAGTTTTTTGTTGCACAACTTTGCCCAGATATAGTAAAACACTTAAAAGTTAACAAATTAACACTGGAAAACAACTACTATATAAAAAGTGTCAAAAAATAGTAGACAAGTACTCATTAATTTTTTTAAACAAATTTCCATCAAGTAAATAGTCGGCTTAAATACGTCCAATACGATTTGTCTTAAAGAAGTACAAAACTGGATGTCCTGAAGACGCCTTGTTTTGTAACAATGTACGTCATATAGACGCCTTTAAAACATCTTTTGGATATTAGAGTACATCTTTAAAACGCCACGAACGTCGTGAACAAACCACAGAACAATTACTTTGAACAAACGTCTTTAAGTTGTATTTAAAACGTGTCTGTGCTATCTGGGTAGTGTCATTCTTTATTAACTAAAAATTAAATACTTTTGTAATACATGTAGATCATTATGTTTTATTTTGCGGAATTTAAAAATAACACTCTCCTTATTATGTAAACGATTTCATTCAGTTTATTTCAATATATTTTTTCTTGTGTCTTATTTATTGTTACTTATTTATTTTAAATGTTACGCTTTGAACTTGCTTTATACCTAAAAAGATCAATAAAGTACTAATAACATAAGTACAAGTTTTTTTATTTCCAACATGTTACGCTTTTGGTCGAATATCGTTGGTGTCAGAATTGAAAAAGATGATTTTCAGAGTCCTCTATTACCTAGTCTAAGATAAGGACAAGGACCCTAATGTAAAAACTTCAGGTTTGCAATAAGTCTTATTTTAACATGGAATTTATTTGCCACTAATTACTGGCTTAGTTGTCACTATTAGTGGCTGACGTTATAGAAATTTTCAATAACTCTCTATTAATTAAACGATCCTTTTTATTATAGTAATTTAAATATATATCTAACTTACTATGCTATCAAAAAGTGAAAAAGTCATCGACGTACATAATTTTTGTTAAAAATTTTTAGTAAAAAAACATAATTTAGTAAATTTGAGTACCAAGATTGTGATTTCCATAGTGGAACTACAACGATATTTATAAGTAGATATCGGGTGGGATTTGAACCCCAGACCCATAAATCCGAAAGTACAGAGTCTAATAACTGGGAGGTTGTGGTTCTTTGGAAAACATTAAAACACAAATATTATGAAATATTTATTCAAATAATATATACAACAGCTGTAATATAATAGTCATATAATAATATAAAAAGAAATTATTGCATGTGTTCAAACAAGGTCATCAAAAGTGTATATAAGTCGATACAGTATAGTTATTTTATTGTTGAATATGTTTTATTAGATATTAAGCGATTTAACTGACTAGGTACATATTATTGGGCACAATAATTTGAATAGACTGAAAGTAAAACAATTTCGCAACTCCTGCACAACTTATGACAGAATTGCCACACGGTACCGTACAAAATTAAAAAAATACGTAGTTTATACCAGGCGCGGATCTAGGAAGATTTCTCGGGTGGCGGTTAATAATTTTATTCATAGCCGCCATCTTGGGTTTTTGTTTTGTCGTAAAATCTCAAGGTTACAATTTATTAAATTTTAGTATTTCTTTGAGCAGCTTGAAGGGGGGATGGTAATTACCCTTTTACCCCCCTTGTATCCGCGCCTGTTTTATACCTAGGTATTAAAAAGTGCTTATTGGCCTGCTAATTTTTCATCAAAATTAGGAAGGTCATAGGATGTAGCCCACTTATTACATCTCTTTTTATTTTAATTCGGCAATAGTCTGATACATTTTAACATTGGGAAAAATTAACATATTGTATTTATGACATTTTCTAAAAATATGATTTAAAACGAAGAAATTTAATCAAATAAAATAAAAACTTTAGCCTTTAGACACTTGGAAAATATGGATACTTACGTAAAATTATCGAAATCAATTTTTTATTATATTATGACTTATCAGATAATAGTTAATAAATTGAACAATATACGATATTTTTTTAGAAATATGCTATATTAATCATTTCCATCTGTATAGGTAACTTTATCGAATATTAATACGTAAAATTATCTATTAATACGTTTTTTAAACCTTATAATAAAAAAGTTGCATACTTTTTATTTATTATTAAAATCATTTAAAAATATGCAACAACTAGAATCACATAAAAATTGAGATGAGCGATATAATGGTAGTGTTAAAAAGGCAGTGAAAAAGATATTGCAACAAAAGAGATACAATAGAGATATTCTAAAACTAACTATATATAGGTAAAATACTATAGACTATTTTTTTTTAAATAATAGCGTAATCCTATTTTTACTTATTCAATAAGCAAATAATTTTAATTATAACAGTACGAATTATAGCTTAACTTCCATTTTTACACAGCAGATAAGGTATATGGTTTCTGATCATGAACAGATCAAAATCGGTGATTACTTAATTTTTTTTATATTCTCAACCTTATTTTTTTTATTAGCCATCAGTTTAAAACAAACTAATAATTTTAATAATAATTTGAAGGTTCTTGAATTTAATTTCTTATCTTTATTAATGATCAGGGCCGCCGAGAGCCAGGTCGGGCCCCTGGACAATTTTCCAGGTCGGGCCCCGCGACAATTTTATAAAAAAATTAAGCTCTTTCAATATATCATTTCTAAAAAAAAAGGTCTTCAAGCAAAAACTTCTCCTCTTTAGTGAAATTTTAAAAAAAGCCCGGGCCCCGATAATTTGTCCAGGCTACCCCCCCTCTCGTCGGCCATGTTAATGATGTAAAATGTAAAATATGAAAAATAAGTTTGTTTGTATAGGCTATTATACCTGCGGGGCAGTGTTTGGTCATTTTGTCATCTCTTAAAGATATTTACAAACTATTTGAACTAAATTATACATTGTGTTTATTTAAAAACAATAATCCACCCTGTGTATTTCCAAAATTAATAATATTTTGCAAAATTGCTGAGAAACTTCGATTTTTGTGTTGAGTGAGACGCGTTTTATCATCAAAAAACCTGGACTGACGATAGGAACAGGTCAAAAGTGGATGATCATGAACTTCAGATAAAAATTAATTTTAAGTTTAAAAAATAAAGTCATTTAAAAAGTAGTTGTATATATTTTTTTAAATGTTGGAATATGCAAATTTTTATTTGATAGTTTTGCTTTTGAGTTTTTTCGTTAAATGTATTTTTTATATTTCAAAATTTTCAAAATTTTCTTACTCTTAATAAATGATTTTTTTTTAATTAATATAAGCCATATATTTTGTCCCGCATACTAAAAAATTGTACATTTTAAACACGTAAGTCCCGCAACAACAAAATTTCGAGTTGGCAACCCTACGTGTTTCGGCGATTTTGTATATTATTATTATTAATTTTTGAAATAATTAGAATAGATCGTTTTTCAATGAACACACAGTGTATTATAAAGACGATAGGTACCAGCTGAAATCGACAGCGATATATTGTTTTATTCCTAGATTTCAGGTAATTGATTGTTTAAGCCAGGCTACAATAATAATTAATATTAAATTAAAAAATTTTAAGAGGTAGCTTTAATTATATTTCTACACACTAACTTTTTTTTACGAATTTATTTTTAGTTACCTGTAATAAGTTGTAAGATATATCTAATATTTTTAATTAGACTTTAAAAAAAATGTTATTGATTTCATATTTTTTTTGTGTCTTAAACTAATCTAATTTTTTTTTACAGAGTGAGTCACAGAAAACAAAACAGGTTTATTTTTATTCCAAATGGGACATTTTCAATGAACTGGAGAGGGGTAGAATGACAACTGTCATTGAAAAAGTCTAGACACTATGCACAATTTCGTTTTGCACAGTTTGTAAACAAGATTCAGGGATGGTTTAACAACATTTTGTGCAACAATTATAAAATAGTGCATCGGAAAACAATTAACAAGAATAATTTAATACTAAATCGAAATAAAAACACAAAAAATCACAAATATACGCAAGATAACAAAGAATTGACGCCAAAAAAAGCTTACAACAGCCACAACACAAACAAACAACAGAGCTGAACATGATCATAATCGCTGAACAAAGCCAATCCTGGAATTTGTTTACAGTGCTTTAGGGCAACCTCTTCTTGTCATTTACATTTTACATGTGTAAGAGTGGAAGGTTGAATCACGCATAATTTCTACACTCGTGATGGATGCGCAGACGGTACCTTATCGTTCTACCCTCTCTACTTCTTTGGACATTTTCTATCGTATCCTCAACTGTCATACGTCATTCCCCTTCTCATCGTCATTCTAACTAATACAATTTAAATAAGGAGATATTGGGACATAGAACAACTGAAGATTGTCTGATTAAAAATAAGACGATTAACCGAAATATGCTTAGATAAAATATTGCTGGTTTCCGCAGGGTGTTAAAGTTGAAAATTCAAAAATTATTAATGGCTATAATTTTTTTATTTCTCCGTATAATTTTAAGAAATTCGGTAAAAAAATTTGGTGTCATAAGATACACTAATCAGCAAAATAATCGGTTGATTAAACTTTGCCAATGGCGCACGGCAGGTATAAGTAATACCTTCATCCCCTCTAAATTTTACGTTACTGTCCAAAAACTTATTTGGACTTTATTTTTATGTTTTTGATGTTTTTGAAATAAATCATGTACTCTTGTTGGGTACTCATAAAGTTTTCTTAATTTTAATTCATTTATAACTTTGTTTTTGGATTTTTTATAAATTCCCAACAAGAATAGATAATTTAATAAAAAAAAATACATCAAATTAGGTACCTATATGATTATATTCATTGCGTTACTTTTGATTCTATCGAACTCTAACTAGATAAAAGACTTACGTTTTGTAAAGTGTGACAATTCATTTGGAAGCTAATTTCATTAGTAATTTAATGCATAACAACATAGTAAAATAAAACAAACTAAAAATAATTAAAAAATATTGCAGTTCTCCAAACTTGAGAAAAATAAACTTGGTTGTAACCAATTTGTGCACCAACGAATTAAATTACCAATACCTAAAATTAGCTTTCAAATGAAGTGACAATTCCGTTACACAGTGGGGGGTTTTGGGGTCATAACCCCCCATGGAGGGTCCCCGCGTCATTATTTCCGCTATAGTATTGACACTGATAGCTAATGACTGTGTGTTTTTATTCACTTTCTTGATGGAACCCCCCCCATAGTTCTCAAAAATCCCTCCCATGAAAAATGGCTGGCTACGCCACTGCCGTTACACGTTGGTCTTATTTGCGGTAATTATTTCTGTATTGGTTTTCTCCAAGAGGTTCTTGCTTTTTATTTTTTGCCTGGATCGTTGTAACTTAAAGTCGGCGACGTTTTACATGTTTTATTCTTTTTATGAAATGTATCGACATTTTAAAATTTCCATAATTCTCTCTAGATGGCTGCATGTATACTGTGAGAACTATGTACAGGGTTATTAATTATAAATTATCCATGTTTATATACAGTGTGTGCCATAAAGTTGGATCCATATGGGTTTTTTTTTCGTCGTAGATCAATCACCTCTGCTTATTTAAAAACTTAAAATAGCCTATATTAACGTTGACTACTGACATTAGTTTTCTGTCAAATTCGCATTAAAAAATATAGAATTTTGCAGATAACTTTAATATAGGCTATTTTAAGGTTTTTTTTTTTAAAGCAGAATTGAATGCATTACGACGTTTTTTCCCAATCGTAATATTAAAAAATATTTCCATATGGATCCAACTTTATAGAACACACTGTATAATCGTTATTATTACATATACAAAAAATATTTTAAATAAAAGCTGTGTGGCTATGGCTGAATTTTGTTAAAATGAAATTAAAACCACAGTGGCGTGCATATTTCACGGGATACAATAATTTATTTAAATGGGATACTCTGTATATTATAAAACTTTTGGAATATTTGTTTTTAATTTTAAAAGTATACGATTATGTTTCCCGTATATGGTACCGTTTTCTGTTAATTAAACGTCGAATATTTGAGTCCTTGTTTACTGATATGGAAAAAAAGAAAGTGTGAATACACTCAGAACACACTAAAAATTTTAGTTGAAAACGCCATTAGTTAAGCTAGTTAACATAAATATGATTACATCTTTGGTTCTCAGTGAGGACAAAAAAGTGTAAAGATTTACCGAAACTAAGATATTCGCCAGTTTATAATACGTAATATCTTTTTATTTCGGTAGATTACCCTAAAATAAAAAGTAACACAATAAACATTTATATTGCTGAATTCTTCATAAAATTACCACCTTTTCGATGTGGCATACTTGGTACTTCCTTATAAATTGTATCGGTTAGAGTGACGTGGGGGAGGGACTTATGACAGTTAAGGATATGAAAGAAATGGGCTCCCATTAAAAAAAGATTGACCCGTTTTGCGTTTTTTTTTTACTTTCCCTTTTAAAATATTAAATCTTTTGATTTCGGTACTCACCCTATATTTGACTGAACTGAAATCGTAATAGTTTTGTAAGCTTATTAATCCTGGCAATGTTTCAAATTAATTCAAAAATTTCACTATATATGTGATAATAAAACTAATTTTATTCCGTAGGCGATTTTCTTCTCTTTGACGATATCGCTATACTCCTTAAACTTCTAGATCGCTCAAAGAGCGATGGATCTGTATAAATAGGCTCACTTGGATCCTCAAACAGACCTCCCGGCGCGGTTTCATGGAAATCTGAATCGATTTTGGGAAAACTAGCCAGATTTGCTGCTCTTCCGAAGCTGGCGAACTGCTTCTGCAGACCTGCTCCAAAAATGGATATATTTGACGTTGCACTGCTGCGTGTATTTGGATAGGAGGTCGAAAGATTCGAATTTGACCTATCAACTAGAATGTTTTTCCTCATAACTAGCCAGTATCTTCGGTAAGCCATCCCGGCAATCAAAGCGCCTGTTAATAAAATAGCGACGAGTATCATAACAGCGCTGACAAGTCCGTGGTAAGCACCTGGCGTCAAACAAACCGTTTCAGGGAGGTATTCTGTACGTCGAGCTTCTTGTTGAAGTTCTTCTCTTGAATCGAATACCTAAAAATATAGTATTGATATTATAAACAAATAATTTTATTAACATGTAAGGTATGTTTATTGTATACCTCAATCATTTCTCTAACGAATTCTTTTTCTTCGAATTCCTTTTCTTCACTTGTTTTATCTTCCTTAGTAGCTTTAATTTCTTTTTCTTCGAATTCCTTTTCATCACTTGTTTTATCCTCCTTAGTAGCTTTAATTTCTTTTTTCTTTAATTGCTTTTCATTGCTCATTTTATCCAAATTACTATTTTTAATTTCTTTTTCACCTGAAGTACTTTTTAAAAAAGAAATATTTGTTTCTTTCGAATCATCGTCGTCTTGTTCTAGACTGGTAGAATTTGGAGTTGATAGAATCAAGGTGTTGTTAACTTGTTTTTCGGATTCAATTTCCATGGTTGTATTAATTTCTCTTTTTCGGCGACCAAAAGATGGTTCGGAACGACCTGAACCAACTTGACAGTAGGCAGGTTGGCATCCTTCTCTACAAGTTCGTACGGTGGCTTCAAATACAAGGAAATTTGATTCTGGAATTTTGAAAGCGTTGAATCGAGCTTCTAAACTGTCTCCACTTCTGCCTTTGTCCAATTCGGGGAATACAAAGCTGTCTACCGGGCACCTATATAAACAAATATTTTTATATAGATAGTTGTATACAGTGCATCTGTCTGTAAAGTAACACATACATTAATTTGTAATTAAACAAACATTTTTTATGGAAATTCCAGAGGCAGGTCGATTTTTAATTTTAATTTATTATGTTTTCACATAATAATTCAATATAAGGTAAACTAGGGTGAGATGTCAATGTGGGAGAGATGAAGGGCAAAAATTTCTATCTATCGTAGTATTAGCAAATGGAATTTAGTGGCGATTCAACGTAGATGCGCTTCCAAGGTACGCGTTTGCTATCACAAAGGTAAGTAAAATAGTAAATAATTGTTTATGACCTGTTAAAGTTGTATTAGGTTAGCAACAAAGCTTAGCTACAATATACTGTTGGCCATCTCTCCCTTAGAATTAGGACAAATGATCAATTTTTATTAGGAATAGATGGCCACTGAATAATCAGTTATCTTTTTTAAATTCAAGAAATAATGCCCACGCGTTGCAATAAGAAATTGTTATTGACAAGAGGTTCTTGGAAACAGCGTGAAGAAAATGACTCTTAAGAAGCACATGTCGAAAAAGGCAAACAGAAAAAGGAAAGAAGTTTCATCAGAGTCAGAATCAAAAGGTATTTTCACATTCATCTGGAAAGCGAAATGCTGTTTTGAAAGTAGGGGAGATCCGGAAGATTTTGGACACGGGAAGAGAATGGACGCATTTATATTTTCCATACCGTATGTTACACGTGAGTTTCAGTTCATTCCCAATATCCCTAATGGGATAGGTGCTGCGAAAAGTGGAAACAAAAATTCGTTTTAGGTAAGTCTGATATGTAAAATTTTGCTTTTTAATTTTGGAAGGCATATTTTGATAATGGACGTCAGACGGTTTGTTTAAACTCCTGTTTTGTGAGGTGTTTCTTAGATGTTTATCATTTGAGAATATGTGAAAAAACTGCTCAAATATCATAAAACGTAGTTTATTATTTTTTTTAAATTGGTTCGTGTATACTGAGTCTCCTACACTAAAATTTCTTATTTCTTTCTTAGTTGGACATCCGGTACATCAATATTGACTTGACAGAGTTTAGCTTGATATAAGATTTTCAGTTGTGTTTGATTTTTTTTCTTCATGTATTTTTAATTACCAATTAAGCAAGAAGATATTTTTATTATAATTTTATATAAAAAAATAATTTTTTTTTAAATATATTTACTGTTCATTTTTTTTCTTATACCAGAACTTCTGTTTCTCCGAGACAAGGTTGTCTGTTATATACAATAGTTTTGTTTGCAATTAGGATACAGCAATGAGTCTCATTGTAACAAGACATGTTATAATCAAGGTTTCTGACGGAGAACAAATGGAGGATAAATTTGTTATTTTATGGATTTTAGGGATATAGGTAATAAAAGTGTCCAAAGTCACCTGGGTCTCCCCTACCAGATGCAACAGATAATTGCATGAAGCGTACACCGTTTTTGAAACTCCATGTAAAAGATATGGTCAGAAGTTTAAACCAAATTTAAACCACAGCTGGAGCTTCTGTTAGTTTCTTTATTTTGGAAGACCTGAATTATTTATTTATAAGAGGATTAATTAATGATCTATTGTTCTTACACCAAGTGCTTTGAACCAAATAATTTTTAACGGTACATTATCGCCTTTGTCATTTCGTGTACTAAGGGATACGTTAACGCGTAATGTAGCTTTGTTTGAGCTTCCATAGCCTAGAACCAACTACGGTTATTTTAACTCTTTATCTAGAGTCATGCATCTTTGTAATAATATAACTGTGACATAATACATAATCAATTTAAGAAACAATTCTGTCTTTCACGCCCTGGACTCAGCTAAAACTTCTTATTTATTTTAATTTCTTTTTGTGTGTATTTCATCGTTGTTGTTTTATGTATGTTGTATGTTGGGAATGGGATGTTAATACACTGCGACCTAAAAGATTTATTGTGCCCCCTTCTGTCTCTAATGCAGCAAGGAAATGTCTTGGATTCAATCATCGTTGTTAATTACTACATTTATTAGCGGCGAGTTCTGTGTAGGCTTTATTACTGTTTCCCTGCGTCACTTTATTTTAATTTTTATGCTTTTTTTGTTGTAATTTTAGTCAGGTTAAGTGCTAGAGTATTTTATATATCTATTATTTAGGAATCGATTTTTTAAATGAACCACCATGTATATTTTTCTTTTGTTGAAAGCTACGATTCAAATTACATATGGCAGGGTTGCCAAATTTTAATTTTTCCCCAAAAATGTTTTTTTCTTATACAATTTTTTGGAATATTCTAAATGGTGCATGCTACATATTTTCGATTGGTAATAACATTTGCCATCAACAGGTATCATTTAAAAAAGTGAGATTTTGGTAGAAAATACATTTTGGAAATTGATTTTTTTATCTGAAGGATTTATTTTTAACTCAATTGGTAAAATATCTATTGTTTTAAGTTATTCGAGACTATTACAACATTATTTTTCAGTTTATGGCCTCATACATAAAAAAAAATAAAATAAAAAACATTGTGAAAAATAAAAATTTGGCAATAAGTATTGTCTTATGTAATTTGAAGTGTAGATTAAAAAACATAACATATATAGATGCATTTAAAAAATCAAACCGGAAGTCAGCCATTTTGTGTAAGTATAAGTGTCAATTCGAAATTATGTCTAGTTGGTTTGTCCCAAATTTGATCTAAATATCTTGTTAAATACTAGTAAATTCAACATGTTTATATAAAAAACAATATGTGGGTTCTGGTCCAGTTAGATCCCTTCCTAGATAGGAGGTCTTCTTTTTCGTTTCCCGGTACCTTGATATCTTTTGCTATTACCTGGAAGAACATGGACTCCATCTCACCGAGATATGTCTTCCATAAGCCATATAAAGTTATAGTAGAACAAATAGAAGTGCCAGAAGTGGCTGGTACGATTCATATCTACACCGACGGTTCTAAAACAAAACAAGGCTCAGGATGTGGAATATACTCCAGATTCCTAAACCTAAACATAAACTGGGCTGTGAGCAATAGTGCCAGTGTAGTTCAAACAGAGCTAACGGGGATTCTCATAGCAGCCAAAGAAATATCCAGAAACAATATCACTGGAAGGAACATACTCATCTATACAGATAGCAGACAAGCACTACTCACCCTGAACAGACCACGAATTTACTCAGGATTAGTACTAGAATGTCACGAAGCTTTGGTCGAAGTATCCATCAACAATGTGGTCACCTTAAGATGGATCAAAGGTCACGCCACATCGAAAGGTACCTGTCTTGCTGATTCACTAGCCAAGAAAGCAGCCAACCAAATACTTTTTGGACCTGGCCCTTCTGTTGGTCTGGCAAAATCGGTAGTGAGAGATCTAATTAAAGAACATTCCCTTGTGAAATTCAAGGAAAGATGGCATGAAACAAGAAACTGCAGAGTTGCCAGGGAGCTCCTGTTATCCTGACAACACTGCAGTAAACAAATACTTGACTATGACTAGACAGAATTTGCGCCTAGTCACAGGCATTCTGACTGGTCATTGCCAAGTACGAAAGCATCTCCATATCATGGGGTTGTCATAATCCGCACTCTGCAGAGGGTGCGAACAAGAAGATGAGACCATCGCGCATCTCCTTTACAATTGCTCGGCGCTCTCATTTATTAGAAGATTTGTGTTCGGCAAGTATCGGCTAACACCGGCCGATATAAGAGAAGCACCTCTTGGCGACGTTGTCAACTACATTAAATATGTAGGCTGGCTCACGAGCTAGGAGGTGCCTATCATCTTAGGAGGATGCACAATGGGCCTAATTAGGCCTTAGTGCCGTGGGAGTAACCCACCCTCCACACGTTACAGATATATATGGAAGGACTGATGGAAATAAAATATTAATTTAATAAATTAAAATTGTACTTCTACCCTCTTATATCTAAACCAGTCAACCTTGGCGCAGGCATTTGTTGCTGTTACTTTAGCCTGGAAGATTAATGGTCCTCCCTGAGTTCGCATGGTACATCCCAGCGCCTGTGTTACTTTTCATCTTCTAACCATCTGTCCCTTTCTGGTATTTGAATATCGAAATGTTTCATAAAGTCATAAATAGGTAATATGTTTTCCATCCGATGTCATTCTTAATACCATAGCAGTAGCTCCATTGCTGTAGTAGCCATAGTTTTAAAGGCCCCTGTTATTATTAGACAGACTAGTCATTGTACCTTATCTACTTTTAGGCAAGCTGTTATGCTTTTAGCCTTGTGCCATCATATGACTGATGAGTAAGTTATAACGGGTACTACAACCATGGTATAAAGCCAGTGCATCATACTTCCGTCTACAGGTCCATATTATTCTTACAGCTTTTTCCATTTGTTTTTTTTTATATGGCTGCAGAAGCTAAACTTGTCATCATGGGCGATTACAAGATATTTGTCATTTGTCATTTTTAGATGTTGTCCCCACATATAAAGTTCCTTCACTCCTTGCAAGTTCCTTTTTTTTGTAAATGATTCAACAGAGGGAGTGTCCTAGGTATAATTCTCTATTTTAGGTCTCATTATCTATTTAACCAAAAATTGTACCTATTACGATTGCCATATTTGCTAATAATACTGCTATAAATCTTGCAAATATTTGAATACTTCTGAGACTGTCAATCAAATTTAATATGTCATTACTTACCCAAATCGATCTATAAGCTGCACAGATCTACCAGAATAGGGATCTCTTGCTACGACGTTTGTCGCAAATATATCTGTTGCATAGCTATAACCGTCTTGTGCTTCTAATCTGAAAGTAAGAGGGTCGCCAACTGCAATTGTTGTAGTAGGACGTCCTTGGTAAAGAATCATTAGTCGCACTTTTGAACTAAGAGTGTTTTCGGCTGGAAGGTATTCTATTGGGACTGGACTACCAGATCTAAAAAAAGTAAAGGATAAAGTAGAAATATTGTCAACATGATCTGCGTTCAGAATTAACTATAACTTTCATTCACATTCTGATTCACTGAAAACGTTCTGCTACTAAACATAACTGGAATCAGGATATTAACTGGTTTAAATTAAAACTTTCTCTGCCAAAAACGCTGTATGGGAAGTGACAGTCAAAAATTAAATAGACCTTTCCAAAAAATGTTTGAACTGGATGCATGGATACACCCAGCCCAAAGTGGCATTATAAAAGAGATGTAAGGTAATTAGTTTCTTGTGGATAAGTTGAAATTAAATAAAAAAGTTTAATAAATAATTACAAATCTTACCCTGCTCCAATGAATCCAGAAGACACTACAGCTTCACCAGGTCCACGGAATAGACAAGTCAAATTGAATCTCTTATCTTTTCCAGTCTGTACAAAATCGCTGAATTGTACAACCACAATGTTGGTCATAGTATCACCGTATCGTTGTGTTCCACATTCTGGGTAACCTTGAGAACCGCTAATTCGCAGGACATTTAAGGTGCCACCATTTCCACGGAAAAAGCACCTGTCGTAAAAACCGTATGTATAAATTCTACCATAAAATGCTTCAGGAGTGCGAAGGGTGAATTCCATGCCATCTTCGTTACAAACTTGGCTAACTAGAGAGAATTAAGAAGATAACGAATAAAAATAACATATTCGGTATTGAGTAATAACATATACCGTAAATGGTAAAAAATGTAATTAATTGTATATTTATATTTAGTGATTGGAACAGTTCAGATTAAAATTCAGAAGAGATGAAAAGAAAAACAATTTTGTAAATTTTTGAAGTTAGCCGTGCATTATTTTTTCAGCTAGGAATAATATTAATTTTATTAAAAAAGAACAAAGTTAAAACAGTATCTAATTAGAGTAGTTCGAGTGCCTACAATTAGAGAAAATTAATGCTAGATATGATCTGGTTATTAAAATTTAATTTACTAAAACCTTCCATTACCATTTAGAAAAATTAGGTGCGCTACTGTTTTTTTTTTCTGAAAAATAAAAAGAACCTATTGCGGTTAAAGGAGAAAAATAAAAAGAGTACTAATAGAAATAACTTTAAAAGGCGAAGAAAGAAAAAGATATTGAACTGTTAACATAGTTTTATTTCAAATAGCCATATAACAAATCAACAATGACAACATTTACCATCTAAACAGTCTCCATCTCCACCTAAACCTCGTTCATAAAAGTCGTAGGTTCCCTTAGTGTCGAAATATTGTGGATTATCCATTTCTAGATCTCTAGTATCTCTATCGCTCAGTTCACAGTTGTCCCTATCTCCAGCAGGATGATCATAACCTCCTGGCTGAGAATCTCTGCAAAAAATAGTTTGGTAAGATAATTTAAAATAAATTGAAACTGATTTTTTACTTGAAATTAAATGATCGGCAACTGAAATCTCTGGCCTCAATACATTCTCTTTCGCATTCTCTTAGCGATGGAGCGTTAATAACCCTCTTGACAAACTCCTTCCTCATTCTTTGGCGATAACCCATTTGCTTAAAATTATCTTCTCCTTCGTCGCATCTAAAATGATATGGTTTGTTATTATTTGGTCCGTTTGGTCCATAGTTGTCATATATCGGGCCATCTGGTCCTGGGGATAAAGGTCTTCTTCTATCGTCATAAGGTTTATCGTACGGTCGATTGTTTCCAAGTCCAGGTTCGTAAGGTCGACCATTTCCCACTCCAGGTTCGTAAGGTCGGCCATTTCCAAGTCCAGATTCGTAAGGTCTTTGTGGATCAACTGGACGACCACCTGGTCTTCTGTCAGGTCTGAAGAACCATCTGCTTCCACCGTTTCGATCATCGCCATAATAATCGTACCTATCTCCATGTCTATCGTCATATCTATTATTGTATCTATTGCCGTACCTATTACCACCGCCATAGCGACTTCCAAAATCGTCACCACCGTACCTACTTCCAGTTCCACCGTATCTATCTCCGGTTCCACCGTATCTATCTGCGGTACCACCGTATCTATCTGCGGTACCACCGTATCTATCTGCGGTACCACCGTATCTATCTGCGGTACCACCGTATCTGTCTGCGGTACCACCATATCTGTCTGCGGTACCACCGTATCTATCTCCGGTACCACCGTATCTATCTCCGTATCTATATCCATTGTAAGTATCTTTATTTCCATATAGGTTTCCGCCGTATCTATCACCGTATCTATCACCATACTTGTCACCGTACCTATCACCATACTTGTCACCGTACCTATCACCATATCTGTCCCCATACTTATCGCCATATCGATCACCGTATTTATCTCCATATCTGTCTCCGTACCTATCCCCTGGATATTTCCCACTGGATGAAGGTGGGTAGTAAGGATATCTATCAGGAGGATATTTATCAGGATATTTATCAGGATATTTATCAGGATATTTATCAGGATATTTATCAGGATATTTATCAGGATATTTATCAGGATATTTATCAGGATATTTATCAGGATATTTATCAGGATATTTATCAGGATATTTATCAGGATATCTATCAGTCGGGTATCTATCAGGAGGATATTTATCAGAGGGATATCTATCAGGAGGTCCATGTGAAGGTCCTATTGGATATCTTGGACCTCCTCGATCAGGATATCTGGAGCCTCCACGATCGGGATACCTAGAGCCTCCTCTGTCAGGGATTCTATCATCTGGATAGTATCTGTCATCGTAGTCCGGATATTTATGAATAGGCGGTCTCCTGTCTGGATATCTATCCCCGTCGTATCCACTTGGTGGAAACCTGCTGGGATATTTGGGAGGGAATCGGTCTCCACTAGAGCCTCCACTGCCAGGTCGACCAGGTCTGAAACGATCACCTCCACCTCCTGGATAACGATCTTCTCCTGGTCGATAAACGCTGTTGCTTCCATCTCCACCTGGTCTTTGGCCAGTACCATCATTTTCTCCTCCAACTTAAACGAAAATATTAGTTTATATTTATTACCTAGGCTTAGATATTTCTAGAATAAAAGATTACTAAATTTGTATTACTTACGCATTAAATTCTCGTAGTAATCATAATCTGCGTCATATATGATTCTCATACCATCTCTCTGATTGTACCTAGTCAATCTACAAGTACGATATCTTTCACTGTATTCAGCAGAGCGGCACTGAAAGCTGGGTTGCCTTAAACATTCATCCAGACATTCACTTAGAGATCTTCCTGATATTTCGGAATGATGTTCTCCACCCAATCGACTATTTCTGTATCTTTGGAAAGCTGTATCGGGCTTTTTACCACTAAATAGATGAGATGTTACTGAATTATCGGGATACTCTGAACCTCGAGCTGAAACATCATTATGATCTTTTTATTTATGGTTAGTATTGATATTTGATATCCACAAGTCCGAAGCATTTGCAATGTTTAATGAAATAATTTTGAATATTAAAAATTATTGTAATTACACTGAAATGCTTCAGACATTTTCCGCAGCAATCCTTCTATACTCACGGCTATCCAAGCAAGCAAAATCATAGAAATGATGCGATGGACTGCTAGCTACACCAATATCGTCTTTCTGTGAAATTGAATCTTCTTCTGATAAGGTGCATTGTTTCGTCATTTCATCGTATTCTATAGATCGGCACAGATATTTTTCAGCTCGTACACACATTGCTTGACAGTCATCTAGAGTCAGGTTAGTAAACATTTCTACTTCAAACGGTCCACCAAGTCGCTTATTTTCTTCTTTAATGAATACAGCCAAACCGTCACATCTTCTTTCAGCTAAAACATATTTTAAATGTAATTTATTAGCAAAGTAACTGTAGCTGGCGTTTTTTGATCACTATTCTCTTAATATGTGTTTAAAAAAGTACAACCGTCTATCTAAAGGAAGGAGTTAGAGAGGATTGCACTAGCCTATAGGTGTCAGAGGTAGCCTTGCAAGTCATCAATAGCACTGTTATTATAAATAAGTTAATGCCAGAAAAGCATACGAATGAAGGGAGAAATTAGGTTGTAATTATTACATTTCGTGTGTTCATAAAATTATAAAATAACAGTATTGTGGGTATAAAATATATTAAACATTTTTGGAGTTGTTTATAGTGCAGAAACAATACCAGATTTATTAAGAAGTAATTTGAGAAGTTAGTCGGAGATACCGGTGAATTTTTGTTTGGGAAAAGGAGGAGAAGCTCTGTATAACATAAAATCTTACAGACCATTTAAGCAAGTATTTTCCAAGTAATCTGATTCCGGATCGTCTACCAACAGTTCAGGATGTGTTCTTCTAGTGTATCTGCTAAGGGTACAAGTTCTCATATTGGAGTCGTAAGTGGCTGATCTGCAAACAAAGCTGAATTCATTGAGGCATTTGTCTTCACAATCTGTTCTATTCGAAGCCGTCATTTCTTTCATATCCGGAGTAGGTAACTTTAATTTCTTCCTAGGGTGTCTTTCGAAAATGTACCTTCGATTTGGACATTCCCTTTCTGGCCGACTTGCTAAAAATAATTATGAATAATAATTTGGTTTCGATTAGATAGTCACTTTCACAACTTACATGTTATACACACTTCAGTAAAGTGAACGCTGTTGGGTACAATCATAAGACTTCCTATTCCTTCCGGTCTTGCAGATTCTGAGGTGAGGTAACAGGTACTTTCTTCATAATCACTTCCACCACTGTAAGTGGCTATTCGACTACCCGGCTGAAAATCGAAAGATTGACAAGTTCGCACTATATTATTAGGTGTCCGATCTCGTAGACACAAATCTTGGCACTTTTCCAGGACCATGAAAGGTGGTGCTGTATCCCGTACGATATCGTCGTCAAAACCTTGCAGCTGGATATTTGGAAGCCTCTCATACATTATTTTACCATTCACTGATCCAGAGCCGCAAGTTGTTTGGGCTAAAATATTGGAAAAAGTACAATTTTATAAAGTGTTTCAGTATAAAGGTAAGATTTTTAGATAGCTATAAATAATTAACTGATATTATAATGGTGTGTAGAAATTATTGGCAAGCAACATTTTACAATATGTTAGATTAATTCGTAAGCGTTGCAAGTCTATATCTTGGCAATCATTTCATCTTTATAGAGCGCTTTGTATGGTTTATTTTTTTCCAATAAGTCCTGAAAAATTATGAATTGTAATAAAAAAAATGTTTGCTTCGCTTCTTTCTTCTGCTTTCTGTTCTAACTCCTGATTTCTATAATTCCTGGTTTCCTGCTCTAACCTTACTTCTTTCACGGCTTGCTCAGCTGACTCCTCTTTCTGCACAGCTCTCCTTTTTGCTAATCCATTCACTCTTGGTTTTTATACAAATAACACTGTTTTTACCTTTTTTATCTTTTCATCAACTTTATTAGTGACAGTATTATAGATTATAGTTAAGTAGAGTAATCTAATATTTAAGTATAGTATTTTAAATAAGAATTTGTTTGTATACCACATTTATGGGATGTGGCTCTCCTGCTAATATCAACAGATTGCTTGCGGAACTAACTTTCTAACAGGTCACATAAAACTGTCTGTGAGAAAAGCAGTCCTCCCTTAGGCTGTCGTTTTTATCAATTAACTCATACCAGGGCGTAAGAAATTTCACTTTTTAATTTTGGTGTTATTGGCATCGACTACTAAGTCCATTAGTCTCGTGTTCTGTGTAGGCCTTGTCACTGTTTCCCAGTGCCACTTTAGGAACAGCACTGTTAATTAGAACCCAACAGTGAATGGTCGAGTGGGGAATCCTAACAAGGCATCAGAATTAATTTTAAATAATTAAATTAAATAAAAAAATCCCCGCCAACGGTGGGATTCAAACCTGGGACCCTTGGATCCACAGGCAGAGACTGAGCCACCCACCCCTCTATTTCACTTATTTGATTTTAATTATTTTTATTATTTAAAAACCCTGAAATACGTCATTATTTATTTATGATGACTAGCTATAATTCCAACTTTCAAGTTCCTACCTTTTGAAAAAATCGATACTCCCATACAAACTTTCACATTTCGTTCCTTTTCCCTTAAAATGTGAAAATGCAAGAACCCTGAAATATGTCATTATTTATTTATAATGAGCCATCTACAATTTCAATATTTAAGTTCTTACCTTTAAAAAATCAATAATTCCATACAAACTTTCACTCCCCTCCCCCCCAAATGTGAAAATCTAAAAACCCTGAAAAACATCATTATTTATTTATGAAGAATAGCTACAATTCTAATTTTCAAGTTCCTACCTTTAATAAATCGATACTCCCAAACAAACTTTCACCCCCGTTTCATATCCTTGAAATATGAAAATCCAAAACCCAGAAGCATGTAATTATTTTTTTATAAGTAGCTTCTAATTTTCAAATTCCTATCTTTAAAAAAGCGATACTCATACAAACTTCCACCTCCCTGTTTTCTTCCCTTAAAATGTGAAAACCAAAAAACCCTAGAAATAAGTCATTATTTATTTATGATAAGTAACTACAATTTCAATTTTTAGATACCTACCTTTAAAAATCGATACTCCCATACAAACTTTCAGCCCCTGTTTCCTCCCCTTAAAAAGTGAAAATTCAAAACCCTGAAACATGTTATTTTTTATTTAGGATAAGTAGTTACAATTCCAATTTTCAAGTTCCTACCTTTAAAAAAACCGATATTCACATACAAACTTTCACCCCCCGTTTTCCACCACTTAAAACGTGAAAATCCAAAAAAACTGAAACAAGTCATTATTTATTTATGCTCACTCAGTAGTTATATTTCAAATTTTCATGTTTCTAACTTTAAAGGACAAAGACTCTCATACAAAGTTCCCACCATCCATTTCCCCCCTTTAAAGTTGAAACTTTCAACCATAAAAGGAAAAATACTAAAGTACTAGTATACCCATAACAGGGCATAGGTTTAACAAACATATGCATAACGTTGGCCTGGCAGAAGTGATCTCGTGCTGATTCTGTCAGGAAGAGAAGGAAACTGCAGTGCACATATTGTGTTGTTGTGAAGGTCTATCAAGACTGAAATTTCTACATTTGGGGAAGAAAAATTAAGAGCAAAAGACCAAACTAGACAAAGAATTCTGACCAATGATCGAATGAATGATATCCACAATTGATCTGAAAAAGTCGAGGTGGGGGACGCTACATGGCCCATAGTCCTAACCAAATATAATCTAATATAACCCCATTAAAACATAATGGTAATAATGAAAAAATACCCCTAATTACTTCTTTACGAATGCCTATCAGTGGCGTAGCGTATAGGGGGCCAGGAGGGTGAAGCACCCCCTGACATTTGCATTAAGAGCACCTTTGGCGCTCCTCACAGAGGTTTGTGCGCCCCAGAGAAGTTTCGCCCCCCTCCGGCATTTGACCCACGCTACGTCACTGGTGTCTATTATCTACACAATTTCGTTTCCAAATTATAGTTTTTCAAGGCCGATCTTCTTTGTAAAGGAATCAAATGTTAATTTAGTTACTATTTTTTAAGACCGACCAGAAAGACCGGAAAGTAGACAGGGACCGGTAAAGCTTTTACCGGTCCGTTTTTCATTTTTCCGATCGCTGTTTGTTGTTTATATCAAACTTGTTTTCGCAAATTTAAAATTATAGATTCAGCCTTTGCATTGTCTGACAGAAAATAAAATTCCAAAAGAAATTTTGGAAGCAGCAAAGATGTACATTTAACATAAATATTCAAAATAATGTATTTGGTTAGTTTATGCAGTTGTATCGATTATCTAATTTTAGTATTTGTTAATCACTTTAATAAATTAAATAAATAATTGAGTGTACATCGAAGTGTCGGTCTTAAAAAAAATATTGTACGTCACGCGACCGAAAATTTAGTATTAAGCAAGTGTCTCCAAGCTTCCAGGTCTCACCTATGACTCGTCCTGGAATCTGCTTGTCTCGACCTGCAAAACACTACTTTCTGGTCTTGTAACATAAATTACTATTTCCGTTGAAAATATTGAAATGTTATTATGGAAGTTTCTATGCGATGCAAAAAATACTATATTCTCACCAAAATTTTGAATCAATTCATCGAGCAAATTGTTGAATTGTTTATATAGAAGATATTTGTTTTTCACATTTATGGCCTTGTCTGACTCTGCATTATGGATGATTTTTACACAATTTTCTTTCAGTCGGACTGGTACATACTATTTTAAAGCTCGCATCACGATTTTGTTTCATAATGATTCCTAGATATCTTAATTTAATAATAATTGTTACCGCGAACCTGCATACTTCTTTCATATCAACACCATTATTCAGTAAATAGGTATTGAGTTGAAACATACCTATTTTGTGAAAACGAAAAAATATTGTTTTTCTTGCTTACCTTTGGTCATCATCTTCAATACCGTAAGGACAGTTATAGCTTGTACCATGCTGGGTATGTAAGGGTAACTTCTCATTTTGATCCAGTCGAATTTTGGTCACTACTATCTGGACATACTTTCACCTCTACGGAAAAATAACAAATGACAGTTTTAAAGCTAACGGAATTAAATGGATTAGGCATTGATGGATAAATTTATTGATAGGAAATAAATCTATTGAATGTCAATACAATAACGTCGTCGAACTGTAAAATTCGATATAACAATAAATCCAAAATTTTTGTGTTTTGCTTCCGGCTTCCCACGTATAGAGACTAACTGGGTCATACAGTGGCGGAATTAAATTTTTGAAAACATAGACTGCTAAACTATACGATCTGTTTTAAAAAGTAGTTTAGTTTTAAAAGAAAACAAATATAAAACAAGAATAGTATACAATTTGCAAATTGAAAAATAAAGAGTCAACTATCTCTACAGGGATCAAACACACATTATAGGCACGAGTATACTAATATTTAGTTTCGAAAATATAACCGGGATGATCCACAGTTCCGCCTCTGATTTATTATGCCGTTATCGAACTTTTAGAATACATGTAATGTAAATAGTAGTTTGTGTAACAAGAGTGGAATAATGGCGATACATTCGAGGTGTACAGTATATTTTTTCTACTACCCACTAGAGAAAATCTGTGTAGTGAATTAAGATGTGGAAGAACGTCAGATCACCAATTATTAAATCTAGTATGCTGGAGGTTCACACGTCAAGGTATTAAATGACCAACATATTTAAAAGGCACTTCTGTTTCATCAAGACACACGTCTAGTCTCCTATATTAAAATGGGGTTAAAATAATATCTGATGATGTGGGTTTCAAAATAAAAAAAATAAGTTTTCTGCAGTAATGGTTTACAGGCATGCCAATAAATAATAGGTATGTATATTGAACAAATTTGACCGGTGAAGAAAACCTCACTCACCATAAAGGACACTATAACTAACTAGGATTGAAATATGGATGGCATATCAATAAAACTAAATTTATTGATGCTAATACGCCACCCATCAAAGCCTACAATGAACTATGCAGATTAATTAAAAATTAATTTATTATTATAGTTTTGCTTGATAAATACTTAGTACGATATTCGCAGGACTCTCAGTATGACTCTCGATAATTTTCTATCTTGTAAATGTAATAAAGGTACTTAAATTATACAGGATACCATGGTTAGGGTTAGAGAAACTGTGAGTATATGAGCCTCCAACGATAATCCCAGATCCTGCAATCTTGCTCAGTGGAGATATGAACATCCAGATATTTTGGATTGGAGTTATGTGCCGCCTCAACAAAATAAAGGTCATACAATTGATTTACTGGATTTATTAACCAGTGAGAAATGGAAACCGGTCGTTTTGAGGCACCAGAACGACTAAATCCAAGCAGTCTATGTTCAACTGATTTGTATGTTTGGCTAAAAATTATCGAACAGTGGTGCAAGGACCATTCACTATCTATCAATCCTAAGAAGACAGAAATGGTCATTTTCACAAGGAAAAGGATGAAAATGGAATTAGAACCTCCAGAACTCCTAAACACAAAACTAAACTTTGCAACAGAGGTGAAGTACCTAGGTCTCACCTTTGACAGCAAGTTAACATGGAACTCGCATTTAGAAAACAGAGTTAAAAGAGCATACATTGCTTATGAACAATGCTGCCGAACCGTAGGGCGCACCTGGGGTTTCTCCCTCAGAATCGTCGCATGTACTTACACGGCTATCATAAGACCTATGCTAACATACGGTGCAGTTGTTTGGGTACCGAAAACACAAAAATTAACAGCTATTCGTAAACTAGAACAAATTCAAAGAACAGCATGCCTCAACATAACAGGAACCATGAAAACAACACCGACCAGAGCCATGGAAGTCATTCTTAGTCTCACTCCCTTTGATATTTACATCAAGGATGTTGCTCTGATGACAATGACACGCATCCGCACGGTTGGAATAGAACCTGATGGAGTATCTGGCGAGGCAAGACGTCGCTTTTGGGAGGAGGCGATCGATACGCTCCCACTGCTTCAAGCGAACATGGACTCCATCTCACCGAGATATATCTTCCATAAGCCATAAAATAGAAGAGCCGGAAGTGGCAGGTACGATTCATATCTACACCGACGGTTCTAAAACAAAACAAGGCTCAGGATGTGAAATATACTCGATTCTTAAACCTAAACATAAAATGGGCTGTGAGCAATAGTGCCAGTGTCGTTCAAACAGAGCTAACGGGGATTCTCATTGCAGCAAAAGAAATAACCAGAAACAATATCACTGGAAAAAACATGCTTATCTATACAGATAGCAGACAAGCACTACTCACCCTGAGCAGACCGCGAATTTATTCAGGGTTAGTACTATATAGAATGTCACGAAGCTTTGGCCGAAGTATCCATCAACAATGTGGTCACCTTAAGATGGATCAAAGGTCACGCCACATCGAAAGGTAACCGTCTTGCTGATTCACTAGCCAAGAAAGGAGCCAACCAAATAATTTTTGGACCTGGCCCTTTTATTCGCCCGACAAAATCGGTAGTGACAGACCTAATCAAAGAAAATTCCCTTGTGAAATTCAAGGAAAGATGGGACAACACTGCAGCAAACAAATACTATGACTAGAGAGAATCTGCGCCTAGTCACAGGCAATCTGTCATTGCCAAGTACGAAAGCATCTCCATATAATGGGGCTGTCAGAATCGGCACTCTGCAGAGGGTGCGAACAAGAAGATGAGACTATCGAGCATATTCTTTACGATTGCTCGACGCTCTCATTTATTAGAAGATTTGTGTTCGGCGAGTATCGGCTAACACCGGCCGATATAATAGAAGCACCTCTTGGCGACGTTGTCAACTACATTAAATCTGTAGGCTGGCTCACGAGCTAAGAGATGTCTATCTTCTCAGGAGGATGCACATTATACCTAATGAGGCCTAAGTGCTGTGGGGGGGGGTAACCCACCCTCCAAACGTTACAGATACAGATGTTTGGCTATTACTACTTCGATAGCGCCGATGCAAACCATTCTGAAGTAACTGCTCTTCACAATATATTGGAGAAGGAGGCCACGATTAAAAATCATTATTCTAGGAATGGTGTCTGATGTAGAAGCTGAAATATTCAGCAATGAGTCCAGTTAGGAAATATCAACAAAACTGGGTACTGTTGATACAATCTTTTAAGTAAAGCCATTTGATTGCAATTAATAAATATCCCTTCTCCAAATAAAACGATCATTTTGATAAAAGATCTGAGCTCCGACTGAGTTGATCAGAAGCTGTGCCTGTGTCCTTGTAATAAAGTTATTTTGATCTAAGGTATCGCGACATACCGGAGCGGAGGGCAATAAAAAGTATGGCAACTTCATAAAAAGAGAAACAGAATGTCTCAGTATTACAAAAATGTAAAAAGAATTGACTCTGACTGGACAAAGGTTTACACAAATTCTATACAGGAGAGATAACTTTGGATTAACTCATTGAAAAGAATTTATACCATCAATAAACCTGTATGTTGTTCAGATACAGGAATGAAGTAGAAACGATCTATACATATTTACGGACCTAATGGGAAGTTATTTGATAGATTAAATAGAGTACATATTTTATAATATACCGGTCTGTTGAGCTCCAAATATTTGAATTAATCAAACTGGAGACTTCCAACTTTAAACAAGGACCGATGAATCAAGAGCGGCTCCAGGGAGGGTCAGGGGGACCATGGCCCTCCGATATGAAAATTCTTACAAAAAATATGCTGAAAAGGAAATGGCTAATGACAATGCCCCCCTCTGAAAATTCGGCCTGGAGCCGCCCGTTCGTTGAATGAACTTGATTAGTGCAATATATTTATGTATGTATCTCCATGTATATTCTGTGCTTTTTTGTATCTTTGAGTTTTTGTTGGTTTGGATTGATAAGGTTTCGAGAAGTCGGCCTCCATACTGCCAAAATTATTATAAATGATCATTGTAAATTGTACTGTTTGGAGCGATGAATAAATACCTAGTTAAAATATTAAAGTAGTATTTTCCTCGTCCTTCGCTCAAGAAACAGTAATGAGAAAATGGGGCTTATATCATGAATTTAAATTAGACACGTAATCATTGGATGTGTTATTATCTCACACATTTAAAACCTAAACCACAAGCCCCTAAATATGTTTTGGATTATCATTATCCATTACTTTTCTTCAGAAATTTTAAAAAACAAAAATAATATTTACTTGACGGCCAATTACTAATACAATTTGCATTTGATTTATTTCGGAAAATTTTGAACTTAATACTCAATTTTTAAAAAGGATAACACGGTTGAACAAAACCATACCAAGGATAAATACATTATTGAACTGCAAATAAAATTAAAATAAAAAATCTGATGTGTCCAACACATGACTTTCCTATCTAGTTATTATAGGCTTTTTTCGGTTATTTTGTACAACCTATTGCAGCATCTCTATAAATGTTTAGAGGATAAACTAAATATATACATTGTCCACATACATCTACCTCGAAACATTTTTCTATAGATATTCATGGCAAACGAAAATACTGAAAAATTTAAATTTCCTACAATTTTTTCATTACGGTCCATTTTATAAAAATCATGTATAAACAAAAATTATAGAGATCGATATCGCAAACAACTTTTATTTCAAAAACTTTCATACATTTTGTCAAATTTCTCGAATACGGACCATTTTAGGAAAATTTTGCATATAACAAAAATTATAGATAATTATATTAGAAGTAACTTTTATTTGAAGAATTTTCTTCTCCAAACGTAAATAACAGATATATTCCATAAAATATAAAATTGACCCCCTATAAAGTACCCCCCCGGATGTTCCGACTCTGCCCAAAATCTAATCAGCTCATTGGACGTTAAAACAAAGCTTAAGTTTAAAATTTGGTGTTTTTCTGTGAATCGGTTCATGAGTTATGCGTTATACAGACACACACACACACACACACACACACACACACACACACACACACACACACACACACACACACACACACACACACAGACACACACACACACACACACACACACACACACACAGACATCATCGCGAAAATAGTCAAAACAGATTCAGGGGACCTCAAAACGTAAAAATCCGTCGAAAACTCGAGGTCGAAAAAAATCATGATTCCTATACTTTCCTTATATCTGTATACAGATAGGAAAGTAAAAATGTTTCCAATAAGTGTCAGTTGTAGATTTAAATCACAAAACTTGCGAAGTTATCACGGAACTGATTCGTTTCTCTGTCTCTATTTTAGAAATATTTTTTTGTTGATCACTCTTTATTAATAAAATAAAACCTGACCCCATTCACATTAAATATTTATATGAATAATTAAATAAACATTAGGTGTAGTCGAAAGATTAAAAGTATTGCATAAATCTTTCAAAATATCGAACTTCACAATGTATTCACTTAATATGATTATCGTTTAATCACCCCGTATACTGTACGTGAAAAACATGGAATGTGTCATTGAAAGTTCCGCATGGTTCCACATGTAACCGATGGGCAGATACATACATATATGTAAAATAGTGTGTGCACTATGAGCGTAACGTACCCTAAATGGAATATATCCATCCGGTGTAATTATTCTTGAAATTGAATCGACATGCGCCAGTCTATTTTCATTTATTAACAATCAATTTCCAAAACAACAGATTTAAATGTTATTAACTATACAATACTCTCGGTATCTTCCGCCGATATTTGTCAAAACATGGGATTAATTTGATTATTAAAAACGATAATATTAAAAACGATAATATTAAAAACGATAATATTAAAAAGGAGATAATATGAATTTGGAAGAAGAAGATGGAAACACTTTGTTGTAGATGCATCAGCGGTGGAGCGCTCGATAACGATGTAGTAGCAAAAAATGCCGTAGCAAAAAAAATGCTAATATTATAAAAGTTCAAGCTGGAAACTTACACATAATATTAAATACATAAAAGTTAATATAACAAAGTTTTCTGCTACCTTGATAACGGTGGAAAACCTTGCTGCCGTGACCTTACAGTTTGGAAAATTAAATTGTTTTGCGTAATTTTTTTATATGATTATACTAATATATTATTTTATTAATGAAAATCATTTGCTGCATCCATCTGGCGGTGGAAGGTCTGGCAGAAAAGCGAGATAGTACCGCGAGCCAAATTTTAAGAAGCGTAGCATCCGCGTTTTTTTTTCTCAGCGTACAATATTTCCTCTCAAATTCCAGGTAGCCAACTTAACTCCAAAATCTATTGTTTTCTATTACAATGCTACTGGTTTGCATAATTATCCTTCCTCCATGGGTTTGCAGATGTGTCTAGATCTTCTTCTACCTAATATGAGTACCTATATCACAAATTGACATTCTTAATATAATAATGTGAGACTGTGAGAATGACAGAACATCATTGTTTGTTTATGAAGCTCTATGTGTAATGTTACCATCTAGTAAAGTATGGTTTGTAACAAAGTTTTGGAAATAGCTTTGTGTATTAAGAGCGAAAAGTGATACTTTGCTGCTTGAGACAGAAAGTTGGCCCCACGACGCGTAGCGAAGCGCGGTCATGTGTCGAAAGCGGCAACGAACTTTTCGCTCAAAATTCACACAAGATTTTTTTACGATCACAATATTTTAAGAAATAGAAATAAAAACTGAAAATTTGTCGCAAGTAGTGTATAATGTGTTGCCTATATCTACGTTAATCATGAAAAACAGAGTTGATATTCAAAGTAAATGTTAACTTGGATAATAAAACAAAAAACGTCAAACTACGTACAAATAACTTGAAAATCAATTGGCTAAAAAGAAATATTATTATACTATATCCAATTTAAATTAGGCGAGCAACAAAGCTGTCAAGTTTTCCGCTCGGCGAGCGACAAGGCTGTCACTTTGTCAGTTCGCGGAAAACTTCAACTTTGCGGTTATATTTCGAAGCGCAAAAGCCTACTTTGGATAGTGATCGTAGAAAAACGAAATTATATAGTGGTTTACTGAAGCGCATTTAACATTGTATTCAAAATTATAAATTTGGAAAGACAACAATTTACCAAACTGATTAACAATGTCGGTTAATAAAAGTAAATGTTACCACTGAAAATGTCTTTTAGCAGTTAATGTTAAATATAAAAGTGCTCTTTCGATTGTAGAGATAGCTCTTCCTGTAAGAAAGCTTTCTATTTCACAGTAAGTATATAAGTCCGAAAAATCTTGTAAATGTCATTGCCAATTACTTAATTTCTATTTATAAATAGACTGCGCACCAACATTAACGCATAATTTTAAAAATCGTGATAAATAATTTTAATGTTTCGATTTTTGTAATAATATTATAATTCTTACCTCCGGTATATTGTAAAGATTTATCGCTAGAACTGCAAAAACGCTGATAGTTTGTATCATTTTTTGCAAGTAAATTGAAAACATGATAGCAGTTATTCATTTTAATTCCAATTTAGTTTTGTTTGAATACGTTTCAAGTTAAGTGTTTTCCTTTAAAATGAACCACCGCCAGCAAGAAAATCGAAATTTGTCAGAATCAGAATGTATTAGAATCGTTACTCTTCGCGAAGAAGGATAAACTCAAGTTGAACTCACTGAACGGTTTGATGTCTTTCAGTCAACCATTTCAAGAGTTTTAACACGTTTTGCTGTCACTGAGAGTAACTCAAGAAGACCTGATCAAGGCAGTGGAAAGGTTACAACTCCTGATCAAGAACGGTTTTTGAGACTTCGTACACTGAGATAAAAATTTGCTAAGAGTCATTCTCTACAAAACGAATTTTTGGATCATTATAATTTTAGAATAAGCCAAAACACGATGGAGAAGACTTGCCGCAGATAACCTGCGCCCTGGATGGCCCATTAATGACCAGAGAGCAAAAAAGGCAAATACTGGATTTTACTCGTGAACATGTTGTTTGGAATAATATGATTGGGGAAGAATATTGTTCACCGATGAATCCAGGTACTCTCTTTTTTCTGACGACAGGCGGAACAGAGTATACAGAAGGCCTGGGGAACGCTACGCACAGTGTAACATTATAGGGTTAGGGACTGTACAGTATGGTGGCGGCTCAGTAATAGTGTGGGGTGGGATTAATTTGGAGGCTCGTACGGCGTTAATTAGGATACATAGAGGGCGGCTTACAGCACAAAGGTATATTACAGGTATATTTTAGAAGAGCATGTCTTGCCATTTGCACAATTTATTGGGGAGAATTTCATGCTTATGCATGATAATGCAAGGCCACATGTTGCAATAATTGTGCAACAATATTGTCAGGAGGTTGAAATTCCTGCCATGGTTTGGCCTGCGAGAAGTCCCGACCTTAACCCGATAGAACACGTTTGGGACATCGTAGGAAGACGACTACGATAACTACCTAACCCACCAAACACATTAGATCAACTGTTTTTGCGATTGGTTGAAATTTGGGATCAAATTGATCAAGATCAAATAAGAACGGTAATTCTTAGTAGGTATGAGAGATCGTTGTCAAGCAATAATAAACGCTAGAGGAGGTAATAATCGCTATTAGATTAATTTTTTTTTAAATTTTCCATTTTGTCATTTTTGCATGATGTCCGTTAGTCTTATTGCAATACATTTATCGTAAAAAAAATTTCAGATGTTCTAAAACCAACCTTAAAAAATAAAAGAAAAGCAAAACATTTATTCGTTGTTGCCGAAATTATAATTTTAAAATTATCCGTTAATTTTGGTGCGCAGTGTATGTATGCCTAGTGCAAAAAATTAAAGATTTTCCATCGCAAGATGGCAGCAAAGTTTTTTCTATTAACTTTTTACGTAATACGTGTAAGTTTCAAGCTTGCGCTTTGGTGATATTAGCATTTTAAACAACGGCTTTTCTTGCGCAAATAACACACCTAGAAGTGTTACTGGCTCCCCTACCAATATTTCAATTTCTTCATAGACATATTCATGTTTTCCTATGTGGTGTTTTCCCTTATCATCCTAGGTATCTTAGACACATTAAACTGAACAAAATTTTTGAAATCCCAGTGGAAGATAATAATTACAAAGTCATCATTATTATAGCGGTTTTCCACTAAACGGACAAAACAAAACACAAACTCGTGTCGAAAAAGACAAAACTGCAACTTTACGTAAACATTTTGAAGACTGGCGTGTTTTGCGACAGTTGGAGTTTTGTTTCTCGAGTCCCGCTCGGAAGCGGTAACATCAAAAGATTTCGACGTGTTTTGTAGTCTAAATTTAGTACCAGATTGGTATAGATAAGTAAATAGCATATTTTTTATAGATACATTTATTTTGAAACGCTGCATAAATTTATATAAGTATATTTATTAGTAGAATATATTATATCTGTGTACTTAAAATATATAATAAAATATACATATAATATTTACGTGCATTTTTTAAACCCTGGGGGTCCCGAAAAATATCTAGTCCAGTTACGCTACTGACTGATACTGAACTGTTTAAGAAAAACTTCTACATTTTTGAAGCACTTTTGTGGTAGTCCTCAGATTTATCATCAAAAGCCAAAAATATGGGTGTCAATGGTATTATTCCATAATTTGTGGGGAATAAAAGTAAAAGTTAGATGATTTTGTAGACAAAAACTCTATTTTATCAATGAAATATTATTAAAAAATTTAAAATATTCAATCGATTAAGTATGTAAGTAGTTACTTTAGGATTGACTAAACATGGTTTGTATAAATGGCTAAGTAATCTAAATTTTGACATTATACAAGTCATCACCACAATCTTTCAAATTAATCTGTTAAAAACAGAATTATTTAATTTAGAAGGTCAAACTATGTTATTTCTGAGTAAGATTATAGGGAATTTGTCTGGAAGAGTTCCTTCACATGCCAATTTTAGTAATTCTTACAGAAATATAAGTCATTTAGCTATACATGATGAGGATGTTGGAAGCATGATAGAACGGTAAGTAATTATTTTTTATTAATAATTAACAATAGTTTTTGAAAATGTAAATATATCTCAATGTGTTAAGAGCCAACTTCAACCCTCTTTATTGGTAATTTTAAACTCTCACATACGGATTATTTTTTATTTCTCCACTTGCGTCTTCAATTCTGTGGAGTAGCACGTCTCTACTATTTATTTCGGAAGAATTTACTTTAGAATTCAATTATCCCCAGATGTGGTCATCAAAAGGATTGAAATTAGGTGTTCTCGAAAATCAGTTATAAGGTTCACCTCTACCTACCGATGTAGGGATGCATTAACAAAGTTAGTGTTCCCTACGATTAACAGCAACTGGGGAGATGCATCATCGTGTTGAAAGACATCTACATTATCAATATAATATAAAAATATCTAACAACACCGGCAAAATATGTGGACCAATTAACTTGGACCAATTAACTTGGACCATTTAACTTGGACCAATTAACTTGGACCAATTAACTTGGACCAATTAACTTGTTATCGAACACGTCGCAGCAGATGGAAAAAGGCCGTGAAGGAGCTCGCCTGATTGCAAAGGGATTTTTTTCTGTCCAAATATGAGCATTCTTAAATTGTATAAATTGTGCTTTATCAGTAAATAGGCATTTTCGCATCGTGAATTTCGAATAATCCATCTATTAAAGTTAATTCGGGGAATTTCATCACCAACCTCTAATCTCTATATTTTTTAATTGTCTCCAAGCGAGGTGGCTTTGCGGTAACGCATATGCCTTGTCTTCAGAGGCAAAAGCTGAGTCAGTAACATCCTCTCAGATATCTACCACCATTCCTTACACTCAATCCTCTCAGACCCGATTCGTGATCCCTCTGAAGAGGCTAGGAAAATCTATAGTACTCTAACTCAAGATAGTGTGGAAATGATAACATGTTGTACTTACAAGGTAGCATATTAAATACGTTCCAAAAAATGATGACCCCCCCGACAACTTTTTCGCGCAACGTCTACAAAACTTGTTAGACATAGGTACTATATATAAACAACTGTGTTTGGGCACACAAATTACTTCATCATTAATATAGTGTATATCCTCTTAAACTCTAGGTACAATCTCACCAAACTTCTGAATCCTCTCGGTCATGTTAGCTATGCAGTTAGTAATCTGTTCTATAAATAAATTCTGAAGTTTTATCCAGGAAGGTTAGACTTTAGAACTCTCTTCCACACAAATTTTCATTGATTTTTTGAATCATAATTTACCAAGGGCGTCATCGGTACATATCACTATAAGGTTTTACTCTCACGGATGTTAAGTCATAAACATTAAGTTCTATCTACCTTAGAAAACAATTTTGGATAAAGTGCTTTACGTCAAATCGACAATGGTCTGTCTGTATATAAAATTTGAGGAATATGGACCATAGATATGGACACCTTATAAATCAAATTATTGTCAATGTAGTCCTTGGCCACGAGTTTATGGAACCAATTTATATGTGATAGAAAATATCACATTACTTTGTATTAACACAAATGAATGTTTAATTAATCAATCTACAAAATATCTATTTATATATTAAGAATATTTTCGAAAATATAAACCGTGGCAATTTTTATGCAAATGTATCAAATGAGCTTCTGCCCGCAATTGTTTATATCAGTTATCTGTTTTCGGAAATTCCAAACACTGTGACGTAAGTACTCTATGTATAGTTTAATCTGATAATTGTATTATAGTCGCAACGCATTTGATTTTCGCCTTCTAAATATTTCATTTTTTATTTCATCCAAATTTTAGAATTTTAAATATGCATACTGCCCAATTAAAGGTACCATTTGGGTAGGCGCGACAGACGACCGCCGACGCGACATACGACCGCCGACGCGACCGAGAAGTGTCGCTTCACATTTAAAATACATACAATTATATGAAACACATTTCGCACGGCGCGACACGAGAAGTGTCGTCAAGACGACACTTCCTGGAGACACTTCTGAATCTGCCTCGGGGCAAAGGTTTGCTGCGTGTCGCACTCAGGATCACTGTCCTCGAGCATCGGTTCATTTTGAGGGTGATTAGGATGGACATTTCTTTCGATCTAGGCAGCGTTGCCTGATTTTGGAACAGTATGGGTAAAAAAAAAAACCATAGATCTGAACAGTAGATTTTAATAAAGGGGGAAATAATTATAATTTGCAGTGTAGTAAATAAAAAAACAAGTATATAAGAAACGAAAAATAAACTTTTTTCTACCCAAATTAGAAAGTAAACAGAATAAAAACAAATAAAAACATTTTTATTATATACTTAACGTACGGGAAAAAAACCAATGAAAAATAATTACCTACTTCTTTTAGATCAGTCTGAATCAGATAATTTAAAATCGTAGTGTTTGGCATATGCATGTTCTTTTTGTGATGCCCTATAAATTCTTTGTTTCATTTTAAATAAAAACAATGATTATCTTGATGTTTTTTTTTTATGGAACCAACCTACAGTAGTGGATGCTTATTACGCTGCTTTTACTGCAGAAAATTTACTAGACAAAATATTCTTTAACCATTTGCTGAAGAATGAGGCAAACTTAATAAATTAAGAACAAAATTTACTAGAGACAAAAACACTGGATCTACGTAAAAACAGTAGGTTTGGCAACGCTGATCGTTCCCTCGAATGGTTATTTGCAAGTGTCGCGCGACACTTCTTCAAGCTTCCGAAATGTACGTAGCGTAACATTTATGCATCTGTCGTCCTACTGGTCTCCTCAGTGGTCTCCTGTCTCTTGACGCGGCTACCGAAATGGTGCCTTAACAAACGCAGGTACTTACTACAATTGCATAGGTATCACCAGACCTATGACACTCCCTGGGCGGAAAAAAGACGCGCAGCTTCTACTGCGCTGACGTTTTCGGGATATAATCTATCACTTGTCATAAATCCGGTTAAAAACTCGCTACCATGCACAGGAAACCCATATTTCGTACACAAATACAAACTTTTGTACACATTGTATCGAAGTAGTTTTGTAATACATTCACAGCTTGAAAACGGAAAATTTGTTATTTTGATAGTGAATTTAGATCAAAAATACCCCAAATACACTTCAGTGTGTGTTTTATCCTTATTGTTACGTATTATTGATACATATACTGGGTTATCACAATCAACGTGGACTAAATAATACGCACTATAATCAGTGGGGTAAAGACAAATAGAAAATAATGAAGGATATATTGGAGCCAATAAGAAATCCGAAAATAAGTAAGCGCTTAAAATTTTCCTTGTTTCTTGGCAAGTGGAAGCAACGATGTATAGGCAAAAATTATTTCTGCGGTAAGATCGGTAAATTCGACAATAATCCAGAGTAGCTTAAGGTATGGTCCGTTATTAACTGAAATATTTGGCACCGTTGTAACAATGTGTAGTTATTCTATTCGCTCAGTGCGAAGTCATGGTAGGGGAAGCAAAAGCAATACTAGCGCTAGCTGTGGATATTTAGTGCATTTTAGGGCGATATTTTGTAATTTTGGCATATCAAATACACGTACACATTTTACTTTTTTTTTCCAAAAAGTAGGTAAAAACAATACAATGGGCAACCGGAGTTTCTGTGTTGAAAATTGTAAAAATACTAGCAAAAAAAAACTGAAAATTATAAAAATTTTCAGTAGCAAAGTGGAAATTAAATCAAATAAGTAAATGGATAGGTGTACAATAAAAAGAAAAATTACCTTTATATTTGTAATAACAGTTATAGTGGAAATAGTAGACATCAGAAACTTGAAAGGTTTTAAATAAACAATAAATTATCATTTTACGATGTTCTTTAACATCCCTTTATTCTTAAATGTTCATTCAGCAAGGACTAGATTTCAATATTTCTGCCTTTGGTTATTGTATGTGGCTAGAATGCAATTTTGTGACTTACTGATAGGAAACCAGTTTTAATCATTTATTCTGTTTTCCTTCGAACAAAAATTAAAATATAAATAACAATTCTTCTGTTTATACATTTTAACTTCACGCTATTATTTAATGGTATTTTTTTATTTTGACAGAATAAGTTAATTCTTCAAAGACAAATTATTAGACTTAGGCAACTTCTCATACATTTTCCCGTAAATACTGTTGCCTGGCTATATTTTATTATTGATTTTTATTAATTATACTTATTTTTTTTTTAATTTAGGCGATAAAAATATATAATAATAATAATAATAAAAAAATTAATGTTTTACTTGTTTTATAAATCCATATACTTTTATTAAAACTAACATATACTTTTTAATTGAGAATTCTATTAAAAATTGTATTTGCCAGTATTCGCAGAAATAGTCCATTAGTACCTAAATGAATTAGCGCTGCTGTCACGCACGGAGCGAATAAGGTGAATTTAGGCGAAAAATTTCATCAAAAATGGTTTTTCAATCTCAATTTTTTTCTAAATGCTTAATTAAAAGGAAAAATCAATGTTTTCTTGTTAAAATAAACACCATTATTAATTGTTTCGATGTAAATAAGATTGAAAACTCTGATGCATTGTTTTAGTCCATTAAAAAACAATGGATATATCCCATGATAGAAATGTAAAACCTAATAAAAACAATAATTTATTTTATACTCATGGACTAGTAATATTAAAAATATATATTTTAATCAGATCGACCATATACCATTTTCTTTTCAAACATATTTTTTATTATTATGTATAGGGTATAACCAAACCAACGAAGAACTACTAGACTAATCTTGTTTTTAAAAATCGAATTGCAAACATTACCGGTGTCATCCACGTAGTTGACAAAATACTGAGGCCCTTCCTATGGTGCCTCAGTATTGCATTCGTGCAGATGAAAAAATTTTCTTACCCCCATTTTATAAAACTTTTTTTCATGTTTCCGATCATTCAGAGTCCGAAAATGCAAAAAAAAATTTCGTCTGGTCGTCTGTATGTATGTATGCATGCCGGCACGATAACTCTAGAACGAAAGTTCTGATTGACTTGCGGTTTTG